ATCCCCCCCCCCCCCCCCGGAAAAAGGGCTACATAGCTAAATTTTCCCCGGGGGAAAATGACTACATAGCCATATTTCCGCTTTAGAGTCAGATTTCCCCCCTTAACACAAGGGGGAAGTATGGCTATATAGCAGAATTTCCCCTATATCCCTCAGGTTTTTCAATGCAGTATTAAAAAACATAACCTACTGCACCATTTAACAAACATTGATCGAACAGCAATGGCAAAAGCGAACTTCTTGCATGCCATATTTGACAGAGAAATTGGAGTTAAACGTGTCTCAAGCTTTTAGGAATCCTGTATAACAAGTTTAGTGTTAAAAACATAGACGATTCCGACTTGCCACTTGTTATTCATGCCAGATAACTTATTTATGAACTGTTGCTGGATACTAGTAAATACTTCACGTCAGTGATTTTCTACAATGCAGTGATTAAGGGTGTGTTGGAATCAACAAACAGCAAAACAGTGGAAGACAGTTATATTTTAGAATTTCTGGACAAAGTTTTGTCCTGTGTTTCTGGCGCAATAGACCAGCTTGAACTCCATCTCCATTAGTATTCAGTAAAATGAATAAAATTCTTTTTACATAGTTATTCTGTTCACCAATGTTATGGTTTTAATGGTGCTGAAAATTTCACTGTCGGCTTTATCATACTGAAGAGCAAGAGGTCCCAGGTTTGAACCCCGTTAGTGTTATCTAGAATAAAGCTTTATTAACCCGAGGGGAATTTGGATTATATTTGAAGTGAAAAGAGTATACATACACTCATTACGAACAATACAATTTCAGACCAACACATATATCTGCACTCATACATAGCACTCCATGCAAACTTACATAACACTCCATGCATACAAACATACACACAGAACATACATGTATAACATAAAGCAACAAAATATGCACTATTAGAGAAGATAAAATATGAATTAACACTAGCACATAAGAATTAAACAATGATTAAGAGACAGGTTGACTTGGTTCATCATTTAAAAATAAAATACTAACGGGAACAAATGAAGATTTGGCTCATTTGATTTAAAACAAGGTGCACTATATCTTCTTCCAGATGGTAAAACGGCATAACAAGGGTATAAAAAGTGATTTGGTTGGTCTAACATTCTATTTGCAAGCTGTAAAACACGTTGATTGTAAAGAGAGTCCAGACTGTTGAATTTGCATCCTGGGATTTTGCTATCCACTGCAGTTATTTTAGTTATTTAACCTAAGGGCTGACATTAGTACAGGTCCTAAAAATGTTGTCGCAAGCATAGCCTGCAGTTCACAACCCTATGCACTAAACAGAATCCGCTCATCAGTTGGTAAATGAACAGATGACGGAAACAGTACTCACGTATATATCTTCCACTGAAACACGAGTTGAAAAACTTGCGGCGTCACCTTTGGCAAGTGATCTTGTTCATGCATGCCTCTGTCCACAAACAGTAAATGAGTACCAAGGAGTTAATGTGGTAATGGTAATGTGAATGGGTAATCTTCTAGCGCCTGACAGGCAGCTTTGGTTGCATATTTCACATGTAGCTGGGAAGTTCTGGAATGCAAAATATACGGACCTCTGATCGGGGCAAGAAACGTCATGAGCACGCACAGATATATGCGCTATATATACGTTGTAAATATACCTTATAATATACTTGGCAGTGAGCGACTGAGAATTCTCGATGACAGAAAAGTGATATGTCACTGCAACCATGATAAGGAGAACGACTGCCGTTCAAGTTTACAGTGCAGACCTGATAGAAATCAACTAGCAAAGTGTGTTTCAACTAGCAATGTGACGTATTGTTATTGAAGACAGTTGGAAGATTTTAGATTCGCTGATTTACCTCAAATACACAACAACAAAATAAAAATAAAAAACAACACATACCCTACTAAATAAATATATAATAAATAAAACATTTCATTTCGTCAGTGACAAAAGGCTGATCTGATCTGTCGAGTGACAGATCCGCCATATATCACTGTCGAAATGAACTATCCTCTATCTATTAAAATTAAGAATGTATGGCGCAAAAAAACACAAGATTTTAAACATGGTTTCTCTTGTAAATTACTCCATCAGCCAACTGTACATCTAGGTACTTTTGATAATAGACATATATTTAATTTATGGGGGAAATCTGACTCCAAAGCGGAAAATTGGCCATATAGTGTATTTTCCGGGTGGGAAATATGGCCATATAGTGTGCTTTCCGTGGGAAGTATGGCTATATGGCCTGTTTTCCGGGGAAAATTTGGCTATATAGCCCCTTTTCCGGGGGAAATTTGGCTATATAGCCCTTTTTCCGGGGGGAAATTAGGCGAGGGGGGAAATTCCACTCTCTGACACCGGTATTTCCCGAGCATGAGCGAGGGACATACCGGAATTTAGGCACGAGTGTCGTAAACATAGTATGACATGAACACTCGTAGAATGTTCTATTAATTGCCGAAGAAGATATCGACATACAGAGACGAGTTCAGCTATGACGTCGTTTATAGTGTGGCGTCATTCCCACTTCACGTCACAATAAGATTCGAATGACGTCAACAATGCCGTCCGGATGACGGAAACAATACACTGTGGTCTCCTGACGTGATATGTCCCTAGGGCACATATGATTTTTTTTTATCCGCTCCGCAGGTAGTAATATTGCATAAAATATATATAGCGACGTGAATGCACGTTTGGGTGTGGCTGCTTGAAAAGAAAAACTGGACTAATGCCGGTTTTATAGTGCTAGCCCACGCCGCAGTTTTAACATCGAAAACTGACTCCGAACCGACCAGTCCTTGTTTTATCCATTTAGTGCCTAACGCTAGGCACGGTAACAACAAGTACCATCTTTTGGTATGACGCGGATCGAACCCCCTGATTTCCGCTCTCCGAGCAGACGCTGTCACCAAAGCTCCATATAATACCAAATCAAGAGAAACCTTCAGTGATATTGTTCTAAACGGGTTGACAGGGAGACAATTATTCAAAATACTTGAAATAACTGTTTCATTGACTGTCCATCACACAATTTGTTTTGTAAACAAATAGTTGTAAAACAAATCTGTCCTTTACTGTCCACTGCAAACTAGTATAAGTTTAAAATATTTTGTTGGGTTTCTTGGTGACAAAAAGATATACGTATTGCGCGAACATAATGTCAGTCGATATGTCATTGTCATTATTTGAAGGGATTTTGGGATTTACGGTGCCCCCGCTTCCTGCACGATGCCCCAGGATTCATCACTTAGTTTCTGGTGGTTGTGCACAATACTAGCCAAGATTAATAAATACTCAGCAATGAGCTGGCTTAAAACACTGGTTGATGATAGTTACATCGATTATGATATGAATTACGTGTCACACAGGTGGGGATTCCTTGACCGAAATACTTGAAGTCATACCCGCAGTCTGATTGGTTTGTCGCATTTTCGCACATTCATCGAAAGGGGAACGAGTCTTCTTGCAGGTTACGGAAATGGGCGAGTGGTGACGATTGCATTGCAGGCACTTTTCGTGCGTTTCCGTGATCTTTAGAGCTTTTTCGGAACGACAAAAGTGGCAGAACTTTGCTCACTTCAGTCCGGTAATTCGCTGGTTAATCTGTTCGTTAGCGCAAGTTTACACTTTTACTCGCTTAGGTGGACAGGATCCCTAAGATAATATGCAGTAGCGAAATAAACCAAGGCGAACGGTAAGGCTGCACAGGTTACAATCAAAGGGGAATAACGCGTTCCAGTATGTGGTTGAAGCACATGTAAAATAATAGATTACGGTTCGGGTCAAAACATTTTTCACAAGCGAAAACAGACTCGAATATACCCGAAAACACTCGCGGAAACACAACAAACGTAAGGTCGAAGCCACAACTGTGATATCCGTATCAAATACATCTCCAAGATACCAATCATTTCTTATTTGGTTCATCTCCAGCCACCCTCAAACATGGCTGTATACTTTCTTTTGTTTTGCAGTTTATGTTGTAATATTGTCAATGTAAACTCCAAAAAAAGTTATATCGTAGCTATTTCTTGAAAGAGAAAATACGTCCGGTTCCCTCCAATAACGCACGACTGATAAACCCCATACATGCTACGCACCATTGATAGTGTGTGAGTGAGTTGGTTTCAGCGCCGTTTTGAGCAGTATTCAAGTTATATTACGCCGTGTCAGCTTAATGTGGGAAAGCCCTAAGTGATGCAGGTCTATGACGTTTACAGTAGACAAAGGCTTAGGCTCTGAAAAATAAACAAGTTTGATAAAATCAAATAACTCCATTTAAATGGAAAAGGAGCCCCAGTGAGATGAGAGATTCAGGGGAAACTTGAGAAAAATCTAGACTTGCTTCATTTAGGGCTTTTGCATTACAGAAAGAGTTGCAGAAGGGAATATAATTGTTTAGGGACTATGATACAGTCTAACGTTTCGCACCAATAAAACCCACGACGCGGTCTTCTTACAAACAGAAAATCATTATCAGCGAGAATCATTATCATAGGATTCTGGCACCATTATAAGGGACGCAACTCCGTCTGTGATATGCGGCGCCTAAGACAACCGGACAAACCGTGTTCCATGTCAGAGTCCGTTTTCTCTAAAGGAAAACAACGTACCATATTTATGTCATGTTCTGTTACTGGTAGTTGCTTTTGAACATTTTGGTATTATGAAGTTGATATAAAACTCGCTAGAGGTTGTTAATCGAAAGTTTGATATCAGAAAATTTAATTTGGAACCGATAAATCGTTTTCCTATCATTTACGCACATTTGTATATTTTGAGAGGAATAAGTTAATTCCACCTCTAATACTTCCACAAAAGTATCTTCCTTACTGCCAACCTATCGTCATATTTGTTACATAATAGTAGTCACAAAGCATGAAGAAAAAGCTAAAATGGATAATGGAATTTACACAGCCCCGTGAGCAAAAACCGGATTCTAAGACGAACCTAATTTATTTGTGGTCTTAGTACAAACCGCGATACCATGAATTATCTCCCTTAGACACTTCCGGAATTATGCGGCCTGCATGGTGACTTGCAAACTTGATTCTAAAAGCAGTTTGAATTCACCAACCCGTGCCTTCTGAGGCATACCGACGAACACTTTGCATAGAGTACACGTCAGGAGATTTGTTGTATCAAAAGCAGGAGTACACATCGTTTACAACATGGTAAGATACTTATTTATTGTCAGTTTGATGGTCGTCCATTTCTCATGAAACAAAAACATCCACATTCACCGTGTTCGATCAACGCGACTTGTTCAGATATCGTTTTTGATTATAGAAAGATAACATGTCATTATTATGTGTTTTGGAAATATGTTGCGATACATTTCATTAATCCATTTTATAACTTTACAGCATGTACAGGTTTGAATAGTACTGATCATGATCAACAAATAAAATGTCAAAATATTTCAAACAGTTACCATCTGCTGATTTTTACGGATGACGAAGGGTCGATGTTGTTTGCTAGTTTCAATTATTATATTACTTAAAGTTTTATACATGACATTTTCCGTGATATTTCTTGAATATTGCGGCCTGTGCCATTCTGTTAGACATCTCACACAAAAAAACGCGTCTGAAGACAACAAAATGAACATTGTGACTGTTTGGTATTTTATATGCCAAACATGGTCAATGTACTGACTTAAACCCTGCCTAAAACTAACCCAGTCTTATAGTTACTATATATTGAATTTTGAAGTTTGTTCTTTTCAGTTTATAGTACATTTGATATAAAAGTCTTCTCTCTTCGTCATGTTTATCTAAGTACCCATGTCTCTTCAGAGTATTCTTGCCTACAATGGGGCAGCTATCATTGCCATGAAGGGGAAAAACTGTGTGGCCATTGCAGCTGACCGAAGGTTTGGCATCCAGGCACAGACAATAAACATGGAATTTGACAAAGTCTTTGAGATGGGACCACATTTATATATAGGCCTACCAGGCTTAGCAACTGATGTGCTGACCATGTAAGTCGCTATTCAGCATAAGTCAGTGCACCTTTTTAATTATATTATATTTTGTAATTTTTGACTTCTCTTAGAAATGACACTTCATGAGGAATGTACTGAGATTATTATTGCCTCACTAACAGGCATCTCTCTCCCCATTACATTTAATTTAACTCAACTAAATGGCTACTTTGGGTAGTTGGCTTATTTTGCAGTTGAAAAGTGATAAGAATTGTTTTTATACTGTGCACCTGGTGTACGTTTGTAGTGTGTTCATCTTCTATTTGGGGCGGTCGGGTAGCCTAGTGGTTAAAGCGTAAGCTCGTCACGCCAAAGACCCGGGCTTGATTCCCGACATGGGTACAATGTGTGAAGCCCATTTCTGGTGTCCCCTGCCGTGATATTGTTGGAATATTGCTAAAAGCGGCGTAAAACCAAACTCACTCACTCATATTCTATTTAAAGGCATTCATCATTGTACTATACTTTTGTAGTTCACAAAGACTGAAGTTCCGACTCAACTTGTATGAGCTGAGGGAAAATAGAAGGATCAAGCCCAAGACATTCATGAGCATGGTGTCCAATCTGCTGTATGAAAGGAGGTGGGTGGCACTGAATATTAGCATGGTCTGTTCGAAGAGTTGCATTAGATTTTCGCTTGTTTAGCCTGACCATTTGGACCGAATTGCCCTTTAGATCTAAGCCTTGTAAGATTACTACAGTGTATTTGCCTGAAGTCAGTATTACTTGACTTGGATTTGGACAAGTGGTTAATGTCACATACCAAGGTGAAGTGGGTTAGAATAGATACCTAGAACTCCATTGGTTTGGGACCGCCTCCGTGGTCCAGTGATAGAGCGTCAGCCCAGAGAGCGGAAGGTCTGGGGTTCGATCCCCGATCATACCAAAAGACGTTATTGTATCTCAGTGAGCTAGCACTATGAATTGGCATTAGTCCGGACTAGTACAAGCAGCCACATACACATGTGCATGCACGTCACTATATAAGTACAATAATCTTGGTCGCGACGTTAAACCCAATTTCACCTCACTTCCATTGGATTGGTGATTAGCTTTCGAGACATAACTGATTGTAAGGTCATGGTACCCCAGCAGGATGGCATTGATCGTAAATTAACCATGTTTTTTCAGGTCCTGGTAATTACTGTTGTGACATATACTGAATAAAAATATTCAGTCATTAGGGTCATTAATATTTTTTAGGGTCTTTATGGCAATGAAGACTGAGCATACACGTCATTACATATCTGAAATACTGTTCAAAGCAATGTTCAGCAAAATTTACTCACTCGTGTATATTTTAACCCTTTCAATAATCTGACCGCCTCCGTGGTCTAATGGTAGAGTGTCCACCCGGAGAGCGGAAGGCCCGGGGTTCGATTCCCAGCCGCGTCATGCCAAAAGACGTTTCTTGTTGTTACCCTGTCTGGCGCTCGGCATTAAGGGGCTAAAACAAGGACTGGTCAGCTCGGAGTCAGTATACTGTGTCTGAGTGGTGTATTCATGTTAAACTGCGGCATGGTATCTCAGTGTGCTAGCACTATAAATCGGCATCAGTCCGGACTAGTACAAGCAGACATACACATGCATGCACGTCGCTATATAAGTGCAATAATCTTGGACACAACGTTAAACCCCATTTCACCTCACCTTTCAATAATCCATGTTATTCTACACAGGTTTGGACCCTACTTTGTGGAGCCTGTGATCGCAGGTCTCGATGCCAAGACAGGAGAACCATACATAGCATCCATGGATCTGATTGGTTGCCCAATGGAGACAGATGACTTTGTTGTCAGCGGCACATGCTCAGAACAGATGTATGGAATGTGCGAGTCACTGTGGGAACCGGATCTGGTATGTCATTGGTTTCTTAAGTTCATTATGCATGTATTCCAGGTTAGAATTGGTCCCAAACAAGCTATGTTGGTCGAAGAAGCAGCATAATGGATTGTTGCTCACAATATCAATCACTTGATTGCTTGGTCCGGACTCTGGATTATTTACAGGTTGCCGTCATATAGCTGGAATATTGCTGAGCGTGGCATTCAGCAACCAACAAACACACACACACACTCATTGTTCAATTTGGACAGTCCATATTAATTTTTATGTCCAGTTTTATCTTCAATGCAATATTTTTCGCATTCAAGACAGTACAGAGTTTTGCTACACTTGGGCTTACAGACTTTAGCGATGAAGTGCATGCCTTGGCGCGCCAGCAACCTATATTGTGGGTTCAAAATCCGGTTTGGTCTGAGTATGTTTATCAGCACCATGCGTCATGGGCGTCACCCAAGTGGCAAACGTCTGAGACCTGATTGATCCAGGCTTCCTCCCTCGTTAAACAAACACTCCCTTCATGCCCTTAGACCTGCATCACTTGTGGCATTAAACTGATGCATTGTGATACAACTGGAATACTGTTCAAACGGTGTTGCACCCAACTCACTCACTCACTTTGTATACTTGCCCATGTTGTTATCATGGATATGGGGAAGTCTACCCTGAGCCCAATTTTCTTTATTTTTTAGTGTGTTTGCCCATATGTCACTGTTATGTATGTTTCATAATGTCTTACATTTCCAGGAACCGGATGACCTGTTTGAGACAATATCTCAGGCATTGATGAATGCCTTTGACAGAGATGCTGTGTCTGGTTGGGGTGGTGTTGTCTATATCATGTAAGTTTCACAAGTAGATCTACCCAGTAAATACCCAAGGTGCTGTGTAAGTTACCTTTCAAACTGGTGGCTGGGAAGCATGATACAGCGATGACTGAGAAATGACCATTTCTTTTGAAGATTTGTCACAGTATTAGCTACCAATGCTTGCAGCAAGAGGTGATTATGGTTGTCGTAAGCGACTAACGGGATGGGGTGGTAAAGTTCGCTGACTTGCTTGATGTGTGTCATTGTGTCCCATTTGCATACATCGATGCTCATGATGTCAAGCACTGGATTGTCTGGTCCAGACTAGATTATTTACAGACCGCTGTCATAAAGCTGGAATATTGCTGAGTGCGGCATTAAACAACAAACAAATTACAACCCTGGTGTGACTGGTTAGAATTGGACTGACTTCAGGTTTAAATGAATCCCCAGCAACATATGCTTGTTATGTGAGGCAACTGTATGTATCAAGCTTGGTTGATTGCATGTCATTGTAACATGGCAGCATAGCTTATTGCTCACAATTTTAATCACTGGTTTGTCTGGTCCACAAACGATAATTTGCAGGCCTCTGTCCTATTGCTGTCTCAATGCAGACAACAGTGTAAAACAACAGAAAAAGAATATGTCCCAAGGGCCCTTTTGTTTATAGGAAGAGGTGACTAAATTTACATTAGATGGGGTTGTCAGATTGCGTGTCTTACCCTAAATACATAGGACACTCATCATAATGTTAACCCTTGGCCAAGTCTTGGTTATTTGCAGGTTGCCGGTAAACAGCTGCAATATTAGTGACAGCATTAAACAACTCTGCTCACTCAGTACATGTCTTGCAGCTCAATGTATTTTCTTTATGATACAAGTTTTCTTTGAAACCTATCCCTATTGAAAATAACATAGAGATCCCAATAAGAAAACTAAAAATTCCTTTGTGGTTTGGGGTTATTGAAATATGATGAATTCATCACTTTAATAAGTCTGGCCTAATCACTGGTAATAAGTTTGTTTAGGGGTCCATAATCATTGTAATCTAAGGAACCTGGAGTTGAATGTGTCCCCAGCATCCTATTGCTCACTAAATGGAGAACAGGGGATGGCTACGGATTAGAATTGGTTCTCAGTACCTATGGTCATCAGACTCAGTGACTTGGTTGATAGTGTTTCAACATACACTGACGACGTGGATTGTTGCTCATCATATCAATCATAGCATTGTCTGTTCCAAACTCAATTATTTACAGACCACCTTCTTATAGTTGGAATATTGCTGACAGCGTTAAACAACAAATGGATACACCAAAACTCCTAGTGAATCTATGGGCTTAGAGAAACCAAGATTTAATTATTAGAAATGTCAGAATGTCAATGCAATTTCATATGTTGTCCCTTTCTCTGTTTTCAGTGAAAAGGACAAGGTGACGAAGAAACTACTGAAGACTCGAATGGATTAGTTTTATTCCCATGTATATTCAACACTGTGTAATGTATTGCGCTGTCAGAAGAAACATCACCTTCAAACTTCATCCACAAAGTGGCACTGTCAGTTCCATTTCATGTACTAAAACAATTTAAACCAAATATACGACTTGTTGTTTGAATTTTATAGCATGCAGACTGAAAGCTGTTGTTTTAGCATTTGAAATGCTTCAACCATGTTAGGCAGTGATGGAAATCTGTTACAAAAATATTCCAGTCAGAACATTATTTGCAAGATTCACTATGCAGAGTTGTGTCCCTTAGGCACTGTCATCGTGGGCTGGAATCTCCCTCGGGCCTGATAATGTTTCAAGGTTTGTCAGCACCTTACCCCTTTGTGGGATTCACTAAAGTCTTAAACGTCTTTTCGGACTTTGCTTCCACATTAAGCTAACAAGAGGTGATATAACTGGAATACTGTTAAAATCAGCCTTAAACCCAACTCACTCACTCACTAAGGCAGCAGCATGCATTCAAATGTCCATTGCTATCTCCCAGAGACCTATACAACCCAAGCTGAATGATAAGTTTTGAAATCACACTACCGCCACATTCTGCCACCTACCCAATCACTGCCACGTGAAGAGGGGCACATTTACAAAGAGGATTGCCTGCAACAACTGACACTTGTGCCCTGACAAGTTGAAAAATGGACCGGAGAAGCCCATGTCGGTCATACGTCCATCCGTTAGGGGTGAGGTGGAAGGAGTTTTACGTCCGGTACAAAATTATTGCATTTATATAGCGACGTGCATGTGCATGTTAAAACAAGAATTGCAGTTAGATCCGCTATCTGTCATAGATCTCCTAAAGCCAAGAGATGCAATAGCGAAGGCCAAACTAACTTTATTTCTGAGAGATGAACAGCTGCTCGAACGTATATAAACAGAGCAGCCAAGGATAAAAATGAAATCATATCAATATAAGAAAATAGAAATCATATCAACGCAAAAACAGAAATTATGTGAACACCGAACTCACAATAGATATGTGAACCCTTCTCACACACAGCAGTCCCAAAGAGGGACAGGTCAGCCGAAATTGCCTAGGCAGAAGGCGACCTCTTAAACACTTAATGCAACAACAACACGTGTGTGTGTGGCTGCTTGTACTTATCCGGACTAAACAACGTCTAGACCAAAAGAGAAAATGGACCCTCAATCGTCCAGCATAGAGACGCTGTAATACAGTAAGGATATATAAGAAGTAACTCTGCCTATATCATTTTTTTTATCACCGTCTATTATGACGATTTCCCGACTATCAGTCTCTCAACACTGATACAGCACATGTTGCTTCATGAATGCAATACAATGACGATGCCGTGAGTTTGTGAGAACGTGCGCTTTCAAAACTTGGAACATGTATTCAACCCGGGGCTATAACTTTTTGGGGGTTCTTTTTCTGTCTAAAGTGTGTTCGTCTGTTCCCCGTCCATCAACCAATGAGCACTGAACGAATCAGAATCATGTGCCAATAACATGTTCCACGCGTCCTTGGATAAATACAAAGACAACACATTGGCCATGAGACAGATGGAGGTTGTGGCGACACTTGCAAGTATGCCATGGTGGTGAATAGGTCCTGGGTGAAATGGAGACTGGGCAATCGATTATTCAGATCTTGATGAAGAAAACGACTTCTGCAAACCTATTTGTTATTAGGTCTGCGAAAGAGGCATTTAGAAGTGATACACATAAGAAAGAGGATATATGGATGTCAACTTCTTTATTGTGAGGAACACAATAAAGTAGTTGACATCCATATATTCTCTTCCTTATTTGTTATTGCTTTCATATGTTTGGAGGGTGTTCTTGACATCCTAGACAAGGAAGTAAAACATCAATATTGACGCCATGGCAGTTGTCTGGAAAAGGGTGTGCTAAATCGCTTCAATAACCGATCGTATACTTACTGTACTGATAAAGGTGAGGTGGGGTGAAATTGGGTTGAACGTCGCGTCCAAGATTATTGCACTTATATAACGACGAGTGTGTGTGGCTGCTTGTACTAGACCGGACTGATGCCGATTTATAGTGCTAGCTCACTGAGATACAATGCGGCAGTTTAACATATATACCCCACTCAGACACAGTATACTGACTCCGAGCCGACCAGTCCTTGTTTTAGCCCCTTAATGCCGAGCGCCAGACAGGGTAACAACAAGTACCATCTTTTAACGTCTTTTGGTATGACGCGGCCGGGGATCGAACCCCCGACCTTCCGCTCTCCTGGCGAACGCTCTAACATTAGACCATGGAGGCGGCCAAATAATGATCTAAGTAAGCTCAGATTTAATCCTACCAAGGATAAGACATACGTGACCTATTAGAAAAGGTATCTAACTGTATGAATTAAGGTACTAGAAAGCAGAAAGACAATTGGAAAATAACAAATCTGTAGATGCTTTGTACGAATTTATAAGAGAGTGTATGTTTATTTTAGCTTAGCTACAAGTGAACTTAAAATAGGTATACAAGGATTGAAGGACTCACTTAATAAGATTTATACTTCCTCTACTTATCCAGGGGTAACATTTCGGTAAACCTACACTAACCCCTGGAACCATTCCCATGGTTCTTGCGATCGTAAATTACCCGCAGTATCGATGAAAACTCATTGTTACGTATTGAGTATTATGGTTGTAAGACTAACTAGCTGGGTATGCACATCCTCGCATCAAATCCGGTGTAGAACAGGTCTTTAGCAACCCATGCTTGCCGTAAAAAGGCAACTATGCTTAAAGGCGACTAACGGGATCGGGCGGTCAGGCTCGCTGACTTGGTTGATGCATGTCATCGTATCCCAATTGCGTGAATCGATGCTGATGATGTCAATCACTGGATTGTCTTGTCCAGGCTCGATTAAGTGGGAGAGATATGACAGACGGTATTGGGAGAAAATGTACAGATAATCGACGCTAGAATTGTGAGAGTATCCGGGAAATACCAAACTTAACCCCACTGTTCATAAAATGGATTTGTCCGACATTGCCGACGTCGGATTGTATTCAAGGAGTCATCATTATTTAAATACGGGTAAATGTTTTTAAAGCTTGTACATTTTATTGACATCCTTAAAAGGCTGTACAAAATGTTGATATCTTAAAATAAGAAATAAAAGATAGATATACGATATTGGCTTATTTCACGATAAAACATTGTTCTATCATGACGTCATTTCTGGAGATTCGAACATGCGATCGCCACTCGATGAGGTCGTATATTGGACGACGTTATTTTTGAGAGGGGAGTGTCTAGTGTGTTGTTCGATCCCCATCGATATAACTGAACAAGGCAGATAAACGCAATGGCCGAACGATCGTATCCTAAAGCGGGAGAGATATGACAATCGGTATTGGGAGAAAAGGTACAGGTAATTGACGTGAGAATTGTGAGAATATGCGGGATATCCTCCTGTGCAAAAAATGGACTTGTCCGACATTGCCTCGTTCGGATTCCCTTGAGGGATTCATCATCATTAAAATACGGGTAAATGTTTTTAAAGCTTTAGTAACATCCTTAAAAAGGAAGTACATAATGTTGATATCTCATATAAGAAATAAACGACGAGTGAGAGTAACTGTTGTTTATCGTACGATAAAACACTTCGCCCCTCATGGTTTACTCTCAATCTCATTAAAATCAGATCTTAGTTCCCGCTATCGCCAAACTTTGTTTAGCGGCAGCGAGAACCTAGATCTGATTTAAATGAGATTGGGTTTACTCTCCCTGCAGCATTTTATTGTACGATAAACAACACGAGTCGTTTATTTTTTAAATAGGAACAATTTTTTTTAAAACGACGTATCGGTAATATTTCAGCGACCCTACGAGAAACCTTTGCCGCTCCAGAAACGTTCGACCCCTGAAGATCCGGGGTAGAACAGGTCTTCAGCAAGTTGCCAACCCATGCTTGCCGTAAAAGGCGACCATGCTTGTCGTAAAAGGCGACTATAACGGGATCGGGTGGTCAGGCTCGCTGACTTGGTTGATGCATGTCATCGATCACAATTGCGTGGGTCGATGCTCATGATATTAATCCCTGGATTGTCTGGTCTAGACTCGATTATTTACAGACCGCCGTCATATAGCTGGAATATTGGTGAGTGCGGCGTTAAACAACAAACCAACCAATCAGAAACGTTCCATAACCGCAAAAGTGCCCATCGTGGTTTATTTTCACTGCTGGTTTCTTACTGCTCCCACTCTCCGTTTATTTCTTAAATAAGACATATTTTTTTATGTTACAGTGAGTATATTTTAACAACGCCTCGGCACTTTTTCAGGCACCCTTGGAGAAACTTTTGCCTCTCCATATCCGCAAGTGTGCCCCTCGATCTATTAAGCCATACCCTATATGATTATATCATCAGGGGAAGTGTCCTAACTGACATATAACAAAGTGTATATAGATTAGATATGACAAGAGCGACGAATATCCGTAAACCTTCACGTTCACCGTATATATTTTATGCAACCTTCCTTCAACACACGACATACATGCCGATTTAGAGTTATTTGCCCACTTCATCTGTCACGTGACTTTCCAAAATGGCGGCTTCCATGAATATGGTGAAATGTGTGTCATCACATTTATGATCAAACTGGTTTATGCTTATAAGAGCATTTATTAGGAAGCCATGGATGGCAACAGCAACCCCAAAAGAAAAGGAAAATCGGCCAAAACTCGTCGGGAAACAGCGGTAAACGCATATTCTAAAATTATTTTTGTCAATAGTTTCCATGCCTGCATTTGTTGTAAGGGCAGATAATTCTGAACGTGTCAAGTTGTAGCGTGGCGTGTCTGAATTTAGTACAATGATGGAAACATACACTAGTGCCAGTCAGTGTACCGATTTACTTGTTATACAGAAACGACTGTCGGTCTCACGTGTTGTCATAATGCTGCATTCAAATATTTCCACAAAAATTCCAAATACTGAAATGATACTCCAAGAGTCTTGCATGGACTTGCCCTTTAAAACACTTGTTGTCATAAGAGATACGTGATTTGGATTGCAAATATCATAGGTACAATAGCCATGAAGTGGAGTACATAATTTCACAAGGGATTCTTATGTTGATGCTATATCAATACAAATGTACGAATGTTGATACTAAATTTGTCTCTGCCACTGAAATGTTCAAATTTATGGAAATTACCATAGTGAAGATGAAAAAATGAGAAGACAAACAATTAAAATAAACCTTTAATAGATATGCTTAGTTCCTCTTTAGCATTAAATTGATTACTTGCATGTCTACATAGGTAATTTTGCTAATTTTTATATATTCTGATACGACCTGTGAAGATACGGGATAGAATAGGTCTTCAGCACCCCAGGCGATTATGCTTGTCGTAAGAGGTGACTAACGGGATCGGGTGGTCAGACTCGCTGACTTGCTTGATTCGTGTCATCGTATCCCAAATGCGTTGATCGATGCTTATGATGTCAATCACTGGATTGTCTGGTCCAGACTTGATTATTTACAGACCACCACCATATAGCTGGAATATTGCTGAGTGCAGCATTAAACAACAAACCAAACCAAACCTAACCAAATCAAAGTTATTCTGATACATAATAATTAATTGTAATCTTACCATAAACATGATAAATGAACAAACAAAAAACAAAAACAGGCTGTGTCACATAGCTGGAGTATTGCCAGGGTGAGATGCTAAAAAGTAAACAAAAAACAAACAAACAAGTTCTTCTTTCTTCCAGTTCATCATTTGTATTCTTTGTGTGTTTTTATTTAGGTTCAGGGCACAAACGATCACAGCATTGTCAGCAAGTGTTCAATGGCGGTAGCAGGTTATTTTCAAGACGATTTCCTCAAATTCTTTGTGGCTAAAACATCAAGAAGAGCTCCCCTGATCCACAGGTGAGGAAATAGAGACTATTGCCCAAGTGTGTTTCTGTACGTGTATTGTGCGAATCTTTGACAAGCATAATGTGTATTTTTTACGTGTTGCACAAATGTGTGTCCAGCACACACAAATGTAGAGAATGGACACAAAACAATTATACTGCCTCCCAAGGGACACACAATAATATACATTGTACCTACAGATCAAGAACACTTATGGGTGTCTGTTATTTCACCCATCAATCATGGCCACTGTCCACATGATCATTGATTCATTCCAGGCTCTAAAGTAATTACCTAAACATACAGTACACTACACCATTTCATTAATTTACAGGACCCTTAAAAATAAATTATTGGGGGTCTCCTGAACCCCCTTTTAAAAGTCAAGGTAAAACCCTACAGAATATTGATATTTACGACATGGAAACATACAAGGGTAATACCGTATTCAGCGTAATAAGCGCCCAGGGCGCTCTCAAAATTAGAAATAGGGAGCTCTTATTAGAATATTAATTTGGTGAAAAAAAACAGTTGAAAGATCGTAAATTTTTTGGTTTATGCTGACAGCCTGAAATGTTTATGTATACGACAGATATATTTTTTCAGAATTTAATTGCCCATTATTAAGAGACATATAACACAAGAGTGTGTATTATACACAAATAAAGTCGTGTGTACATTGATCAGTCGGAAGGGGTGTTAATTGGGATTATTATAGCAGGGCGCTTTTTACGTCAAATACCGTAATAGTTTTATAGTATGATATCATGTTTAAAATAATTTATCTTTACATCATAATTTCTCTCAATGAAGTAACTTTAGAAATTGTGTATGATTACAGTGTATGAGTGAACCGCCCAACTTTGTCTACATGATATCCCACACCTTGGAAAATGTCTACTGTAAATCTTGAAATTAACGCGGATGTGAATTTAATGCAAAAAAATATGAGTGGTCTTTGCTCGCATCATTAAACATCACATTTATATCAACAATAAGACAGTTTGAATAGCAGAAATACCAACTTAGACATACACTGAAAACAAACAACTATGTATTCTACATCACTGTTTATTGAGCAGCACTTGTAACAAGTATATAAACAATGTCATTCAAACATTAATTACATCCTGTGAATTGTCACTGATGGGGTCAAGACAAAAGTTCTACTCACTTATGTCATTACTGATCACACCTGCAAGTCCAGACAAGGCGTCTTTGTTCTTTGCAACTCCGTCAAAGGCGGACACAAGCCAGAGCGCATGTATTGTTTTAACGGAAGTACTCTACTCAGCGCTATTAGGCAGTGCTATTTGGGTGTTTGGATTAAGGTAGGGATTCATGTTGAGTCGCATTTTTGGCTAGGGGCCAGTTGTCGCATTATTTTGGAGAGGCATTAATTTCACGATTTACAGTATTTATATTTTTGGGGAAAGTTAGTCAACAGTTAACATGGTTAATTGAGCAAACAGACATTAAAATGATGTATCATTATATTATGATTGCATATTTATCAGATTGTGATGTCAAGTCTTTCGTATTGGTTTCTCTCATCAGTAACACTATCAATTTATAGAGATGATGAAGTTAGCATTACTTAACCTACGTCAATAAGGAGATATTTTGTACTATTGATATCACAAGTCGCTTTTCTTGTTTTGCATCTTTAGTTAGGTAATTTCAAGTTTGTATTCTCAAACGTTTTTGGTAAAGACTGATGTTGAAAAGCACTGTCAGATAAGCTCTACTCTGTGCATGAAGTTTGTGTGTAGCTTTGCCTGATAATAAGCTCTGTGTAGAATCAAATATATAGAACTTATTATACGAGTGTCATACTGATCTTACGAAACAAGTGTCAGAATTCTCGTATTTCCGAGAGAGAGTGAAGCGACTAATGGAATCGGATGGTCAGGATCGCCAAACTGGTTGATGCATGCCATCGTATACCAATTGCGTTGATTGATGCTCATGATGTCAATCACTGGTTGTCTGCCGTCATAATGCTGGAATATTGCTGATCAACATGACAATGAGTCAAGTCAACTATTCCTTATGAGAAAATAATAAGAAAGAAAGTTTACATACTGTATGACGACAGGCAGCAAGGAAAAGCTGCTCAGTCTTGTTATCGGGCCAGTTTTATATCCGAAAATCGACCAAGAAAGCTATGAGGATTTAAGATAATAGTTTGAGTGACATTAACATGGAGAATCAATATGGGGTTAAATGTGAATCGATGCCAAGTTATTTGTATTGAGTATCATATCGTGCAAAGTTTGCCGATGATGTGCTGGTGTACCGATGAATCGCGACATGTGATTTTTATGAATGCAGTCATTTCTAACCCAATTGGTGATAAATAGATATGATACCCTTGATAAGTGAGGATGAGTCTGGCCTGAAGAAACCACATTTGTTACATTCCATCAGATGTTGTCAACTGTTATATCCTGGTGTATCTGATGTTTTTATCTCCATGACAGGGGCTATTACATTCGAGCAAAGACTGTGAGCTATATTGTGAATGAATTCCTTCAGCGTCATGGTTCAACAGCTAAGCAGGTAAGTTCATTGCTTCGTTCTACTAGAATTACAATCAAATCCTGTTGTCTCGAACTTGGATGTGTCACGCTCAGTCCAGTCCTGACAAACCATCGCCTGTGGTCTAGTGGTAGATGTCCGCCTGGAGAGAGAAAGGTTCGGGGTTCGATCCCTGGCCGCGTCATACCAAAAGACATTAAAAGATGGTACTTGTTGTTACCCTGTCTGGCGCTCTGCATTAATGGGCTAAAACAAGGACTGGTCGGCTCGAGATCAGTATACCGTGTCTGTGTGGGGTATTCATGTTAAACTGCGGCATGGTATCTCAGTGGGCTGGCACTATAAATCGGCATCAGTCCGGACTAGTACAAGCTACCACACACACACGTGTATGCTCATCGCTATTTAAGTGCAATAATCTTTGATGTGACATTAAACTCCACCTTACCTCACTCCGACAAACCCTTACTGTATTAAGTTAAACCTTACCCTGATATGTCAAAAACCAAACTTAACACAGGTTTGAATTTGTACGTGTAGAAGTTGGACGTGAATAGTTTCGAGTTTTGGATCACAAGAAACAGTTGCTAATTTCTTAACTTCATAATTTCAGTTCAAATTGTCACTTTTGTTAACTTTGACAAGATGAAAATATGTATGATTTTGAAAACCACAATATATTGCCATTTTCCAAACGTACTGTGATATGTGGTATACCAGAAATACCATGCACCTCTATACACACATTGACCTTCATCCATGTCATAAACATGTCATGACAGTTTGTTATGATAGATGCTTTTGTTGAATTTCCAGATTGTCTCCCTTGGATCTGGATTTGATTCTGCATATTTCCGACTGAAATCAGCTGGCCAGCTTCAGAACACAATATATATTGAGGTATTGTATACAGATGTATCGCTGACTTCATGACATCAATAAAATTGCCAATTGTGATACTAAATTTGAAAATATATACAACATGGGGTTCATCTTTAGTATACTATAACACCAATACTATTTATAGCTTCAAAGATAAAGAGAGGTGTCTTCATTTGTACTATACTCAACAGCACAGTATGATTAGTAGATCACAGTAACTTTGTGTTTTGAGTATACTTGACAGCTGTAAATAAGCATTGGAACATGAAAATTTGTAACCATGGTAACATGTTTGCTTGTTATTTATATCAGACTATATATATTCTGAATCTAACTGTATCTGATAGTGTTATCCATCCTTGCTGATTATAGTGTTATCCATCCTTGCTGATTATAGTGTTATCATGTTATCCACCCTCGAAGATTATAGTGTTATCCATCCATCCTCGATTATTGTGTAATCGTGTTATTGATCCTCTTATTGTTTTGCCCATTCTCGTTGATTAGTGTTATCACTCCTCAATTAATATAGGGTTATCCATCCTCGATTATTGTTGTGTTATCCATCCTCGATGATTATAGTGTTATCCATCCCCAATGATGTAATTAAGTGTTATTCACCCTCAGTTATAGTGTTATCCATCCTCGATATTTGTGTTATCCATCCTCAATTTTTGTGTTATCCATCCTTTGCACTCTTCTTCAGATTGATTTCCCAGAGGTTGTAAAACGAAAAAATGCAATTATCAAGAATACCCGTGAGCTGAGTGAACTGCTTGGTGAAGAGCAGACTCTACAGGCAACGTCTCCTCATATAGGTATGTGGTGACTGCTTCATCAGCTCCCCTCCTCCCCTCCCTAAACTTCGAGAATTGTATGTTTGACAATTAAAGTAGTACCAAATTCTGATTCTGAAATGCTCATTCCACCTTGAATTTCCTGTTCAGAATAGGAAACATAGAGCTATGGATTACTGAAACTCCAAACGATATAAAAATCCACCTACCCCAGAAAACAACCACCCACCCACACACTCACTCAATCGCCCTCCCCATCACCCACTCCCTTGCTAAAACATACCTGAAATCCATCTAACCACTCATGAACCCTGCCACCCGCCTACTCACCAATCACTCACTGACTCGCTCCACAGTCATGAGAGGCGATCAAATGCATCGGGTGGCCTCGCTCAATGACTTGAGCAGGACATTGTATCTCGACTGCGCTGATCATTTATCAATATCAGTTACTGGATTGTTTGATTCAGACTCAAATAGTTAAAGGCAGCCATCAAATGGCTCACTCACTCACTCACTCACTCACTCACTCACTCACTCACTCACTCACTCACTCACTCACTCACTCACTCACTCACTCACTCACTCACTCACTCACTCACTCACTCAAACCCAAAAATACCGATCACTCACCTTGCTAAAATACCCACACTCGAACCTACCAGTCCCACTCACTAACTCGCTCACTCACCCGATCACTCTCACTCACTCACTCATTCACTCATTCACTCATTCACTCACTCACTCACTCACTCACTCACTCGCTACAATACCCACACTCTCACTCATTCACCCACCCACCCCAACCTACCAGTCCCACTCACTCACTCGCCCACTCGCCCACTCACTCACTCACTCACCCAAAAATACCACTCGCCCGATCACTAACCCACTTGCCCACCCACTCACTCACTCACTCACCCAAACCCACAAATACCACTCGCCCGATCACCCACCCACCCACTGGCCCACTCACTCACTCACTCACTTTGTTTCAGAGATGAACCGGTCTGACTACAAGATGCTGGGGGTCGACCTGACCCAGCTGAACACCCTGGAAGCAGCTCTGCGCCTGTGCCAGGTGGACTTCGACGCCCCCACTCTTCTGCTGTCTGAAGTTGTCCTCACATACATGACCCGCAGATGGTGAGCTGGCTTCTAGCTGTAGTCAAGTCTTCCAGGGTTCAGATCAATAGCAGATAAATGATGCATACAGTAAATATGTCTTCCATACCAAATAACAGGCAAAAAAACTGAAAATGCTGCATTGTGGAATGTAATATTTTTTTATAGTAGAAACATCTGTACACTTTATAGCTGTGTTCATGTTATCAACCACTGGTTTGTCTGGTCCAGTCTACCTTAAACTTTGATCTGAACCCCACCCATCCACCCGCCGACTCACTCACTCACTCACTCACTCACTCACTCACTCACTCACTCACTCACTCACTCACTCACTCACTCACTCACTCACTCACTCATTCACTCACTCACTCACTCACTCACTCACTCACTCACTCACTCACTCACTCACTCATCCAACTGCCACAGTGTGATATAACTGGAACACGGTTCAAAGTGGCAATAAACCAAACTCATTCACTCACCATCTTGTTGCTTCCTGATGTAGACCTGTCGTGTTTCAGTTCCTCGGCTGTTGTGAAGTGGGCAGCAGAGACATTTTCAGACAGCGCCTTCCTGCTTTATGAACAGGTGAGCAAAGACCGATTATTATTATTATTATGATCTTTTCCTCCGATTCAGTACCTCTCAGCATAAAGATCTGACAACATCTCCATAGGAGGTCACATAAGGTCAACTTTCTAATCAACCAATCAGCATTGAGGCTTCGTAGTTCTCGGTACAAGTGAGCAAAGCCTTCAGACACACATACATGATTTATTTATTTCTAAAAACGAATAATATCAGGCAGTTCCGAATGCAAAAGCATAAATCTGTGCACTTATATTGTTGTGGATATGTAATACATCCTTTTGTTTCTGAGCACCATGGCATCTACTCCCAAAACAGTGTACTAGCAAGAGTAGATTTATCATCTGTGTCAGTTTCCGTTGTCTGAATCAAGGTGGTATAGAATAGGGCGGGCTAAAAAGATCAATAGGTGGGAAGAAATATTAACAATTATCAAAATTGTGTCATCAATAATATCTTACACAAATTATTGTGGAGAAATAAACTTTTAATTTACCGAAGCAGACTTGTTTTTTATCTTTGCTGAAGACGGCAAGCAACTGATTTTGTTGTATCTAAATGTCCACAGAGTAATCCATGCACAAATCTGTCGCCACTCACCAGTGACATGAAATATATTGTTTCGTCTCTGAGCTTTTCTCAATATTTGCTCAAAGTTACTTCTCTGATATTTATCGACAATTGATTGTTATTTAGGTAATGAGTATCAATCTCTAAGATTTATATAGACAGCCAGCCCTAGTAAACAGGTAAAGAATGAAGCCGAATTGTTTTAGAAAGCTGACAAGTACCGATACATCCTTCATTTACTTTAGGCGGGCTTATGGAGATGTCCTGGAGGTATCATTATGAGTATAAAAGATGTGATTTTAGGGACATTGCCTTTTAATCTTAATGTTTTCACAAAAGAAATAAGCCTGACAGCTTTTATCGCCAAAATTCACAGCAATTTTTTCAGTAATGGCATATTTTTTCAAAGCACAGTGTTTTTGTAGCAGGTATTGTAAATAACAGTCTCAAAACACTTGATGTGCATCAAATAATTGTTTTATCTGTTGTGTTACAGATAAATCCAAATGATCCATTTGGTTTGTTCATGTGAGTATTCATTGTTTTCTTATGATATTTAATAGTTTTGTCTGTTTCTTCTCCTGTTTTCAGTAATCTACATTCATTTTATTGGTTACCAAATACATCTCAGTAATGGTAGATGAAACTCTAAATTGTAATACTGTATTCAACGTTATAAGCGCCCCGCTCTAATAAGCGCCCACAGCAATATTTGCTAATATATTGGCTAGTGAACAATCTCAATTAGCACCCCTTCAAATTGATTAATGTACACAAGACTTATTTATTCGTGTATAATACGCACTCGTATGTTATATGCACCCTTGATTATGGGCAATTAAATCCTGGAAAAATATATATAAACATTTCAGGCTATCAGCATAAACCACGAAATTTACGATCTTTCAACTCAAAATAATATTCTAATAAGAGCCCCCTATTTCTAATTTTGAGAGCGCCCTGGGCGCTTATTACGTCGGATAGGGTAGGTGAAATGTTAGCTCATGGGGATTCCCTGTACAAAGCCATTACATTAGTTAGGAAAGTTTTATTTGCCACCTTAGGAATGTTTACTGACATTTGTTGCAGGCTTGGGACCGAACATCAGCCTCGGAGTGGGTGGAGATGTATCTCTGCAATTACACTCATTTTCTGTATTTTACTGAATGATTTTGTTTTCATACAGGCAGAACCACTACAAAGTTATTGGCTCTCCCCTAAAGTCCATCAACGCCTTCCCAACACTGACGTCACAGATGGACAGATTTGTATCACTGGTGCGTTATTAAGGCTGTCAAGCGTATTCTTATTGAATGAAGAAAAAGGTTGTGCTTTGACCTTTCAAGAATATTAGGTGGCACGGGTGGCCCAGTCATCTAAGGCGCCGAAATTCGCTGTGCAGAGTTGAGTCCCTTGGGCATGCCAGAAACCTATGATTGTGGGTTCGTATCCCGGTTCACCCCGATTATGTTTCTAGGTTTGTCAGCACCATACCTGTGCTCAAGGTTTTCACCGAAGTGGTAAACGTCTGCGACCTGCTTGACTTCGGGCTTTCCTCCCACATTAAGCTGATATGTCGTGATATAACTGTAATATTGTTATAAACCTTGTTTAGCCCTACTCACTCACTCACTCACTCACTCAGTCAAGAATTTTTAATTTTAAATGGTTTGTCCTTGAGAGGCTTCAAAGGATATTAACAACCACTCACTCACTTTCGGACCCCCTGAAGATGCCGGGGTAGAATAGGTCTTCAGCAACCCGTTCTTGCCGTAAAAGGCGACTATGCTTGTCGTAAAAGACGCCTTACAGGATCGGGTGGTCAGGCTCGCTGACTTGGTTGATGCATGTCATCGATCCCAATGGCGTGGATCAATGCTCGAGATGTTAATCACTGGATTTTCTGGTCCAGACTCGATTATTTTACAGACCACCGTCATATAGCTGGAATATTGCTGAGTGCGGCGTTAAAGAACAAACAAACAAAACACTCACTTTTGCCCTTTCTGTCTCTCATTCCCGCAACCCCTAAGTGATTCTTTCACTCACTCACTCATTATGACACTGATATGTTCAGGGCTGGAACTGGTGTGAAGCGTATGACATGAACCAGTTTTACAAGGACCTGGTGGGGCAGACAGAGAAGCTGTTCATCAACAGCCTGGAGCCTTTCGACGAGTATGAAGAGATGCACCTCAAGTGTTCCCACTACTTTGTACTGTGTGCCTACTCCACTCCTAGAGATGGCCTGCTACAGGAAAACAGAATCATGCACGGTAGGGACAGCAGTCATGGCAACCGTTTACAGGGGAATCATGAGGGTAAGAACAGTAGTCATGGCAACCACTGGCAGGGGACTCATAGAGGAAGGAACAGTAGTCGTGGCAACCGTTGACAGGGGAATCATGAGGGTAGGAACAGTAGTCATGGCAACCACTGGCAGGGGATTCACATAGGTAGGGACGGTAGCTGTGACAACCACTGGCAGGGGACTCATACAGGAAGGAACAGTAGTCATGGCAACCGTTTACAGGTCAATCATGAGGGTAGGAACAGTAGTCATGGCAACCACTGGCATGGGATTCACATGGGTAGGGAGGGTAGCTGTGACAACCACTGGCAGGGGACTCATACAGGGAGGAACAGTAGTCATGGCAACCATTGACAGGGGAATCATCTGGGTAGGGACAGTAGTCGTGACAACCGCTAGCAGGGGAATCGTGGAGTTCGGAACAGTAGTCATGGCAACCACTGGTAGGGGAATCATGCAAATATTGATCTAACAGCATTCCCCGCATCACAATAATTGAAGAAATATAATATTATTAACATGGAATAATGGACATGAATTGTTTGTAGTTTCAGCTGACGATTCGAACTCCAAGCCCAAACCAGATAATGTTCCTGAGTTGGTGAAAGTTCTCCCGTCGGTAGAAGTCTCCACAGCAGAAACCAGTTCCATCAAGAGATTCAGTCACACCAGTTCCAAGTTGGGTGAACAGTTCATCGTAACAGTCGGAGGATTTGGAGAACAAGATGGCCGCCACCAGCGGATCTCCGAAGTCAACATGACGGACATAGAGACGATGAATGGCTACTCTGTCAAGGCGAATGATGATACTCTAGAAAGTAAGTGTCCTCAGGTGTGAAGGCAGGAATGGATAGCAGAGACTTTGCCAGGGTGCGTGATTGCTGGAATCACACAAATTTAATTATGATCACACATTTTAAAATGAGTTGTGTGTGAAAGATCCCACAGAAAATGAATCAAAATCGCATTTGAAATTGTACAACATGCAATATTTTTTACTTATTTGAACTATAATTGCTAAAAAAAAAATAAACCACAAAGTAGTTGTCATTAGTAAAGAAAGTCTGGCTTGATGTACTCTGTCATACTCATGATTGTTGTGTTCACTATGAAAACGAAAGTAAATGAATTCCGGGAACGCTGTGATATAGTTAGAAACATCGATCTGCGCGAGAATCTGTGTCTTTCCGTTTGAGTTTTCTTGCAGATGGACAGTTTGTAAAACACATATCTATGATCTTAGCGATGACTTTCATACACTCCCCCACTCTTGCTGAATGGAAATCCACCCTTTCTGAAATGGGAAGGGGATACTTCCCCCTCATTTATAGATTTCTGGCAAAATCTTTGGTATAGGCATGACACAGTTAGGCTGCACAGACTTGATGGTCAAATGTCTTGACTAAACGTCATATCTTTGGTCATGAGTGTGAAGACGAGTCCAAATCTACTACCCAGGTACCCGACCCGACTCAGGTACCCGCTGTAGGTCTCAAGAGTAGAAAATGTCCAATTGGGAATTGTTTCACTGGAGCCCTGGTAAAACCTAATTAGATACACATCTAAACTCATCTGATCATGCATCCACTGAGCTTTTCCTTTACTCAAACAATCAGAAGGAACGAATGCATAGTCAGAAAGAAATGTGAACATTAGCAACTTGTGTGAGTTTTATTGTTATTGTCATTAAACAATATATTACCAGGTGGTCCTGTTGGTATCTGGGTCCTAATCAGGACCCACCCGACCCAGGTACCTAGCACTTCACTTGTTGAGTCAACTGTAATGGATCGGGAGGTCCGGTTCTGCTACTTGGCTGATTGTATGTCTTTGTACCCTGATTGCATGGATCAATAAAACTTTCTACTCTATTGCAACCAACCAGATATTTGATTTTAGCAGATGTCATCTGTGTCACCCGTCAGACGTAACATGTAAGCGAGACAGCCTACAGGGTACTCATTGAAACGCTTGACGCTAATCAATTCATCCCCAGCGATTGTGATTAAAGTGTCCCGCACAAGCCCCCAAGCGTGATAGTTATTGTCATTTGTAAATACAGTAGAACACGGATATAACGAACACGAATAGAGCGAACGAACAGATACACCAAACTGTTAAAAAATGCCTGATTTATCTCCAATATATTACCATATAAAATTTACGTACATAACAAACTCTCTACAGCATACTGACGTATATATAGCAAACTGATATCTGATCACTGACAAGACCATCTACCACTAATTAGTGACTTGTATAGCAAACTGAGAAATCTAACTCAGTGTCAAGTGTCACTGACAATTTGCAGTACGCAATCAGAGGCGAATCAACACAATCGCGGCGAATCAACACAATCACTGGTGATTCAACCTTGTTAAACTTGCATTATGCTAATCTTACCTGTCAATGTAATTGGCCTAATCAAGTCTGTAAAACAAACAACTTTCATTCAATAATGTTTACATTTAATTCGGTGAAAACGTGTGTGAAGTGATTGGTAAATCGCACAACTCACCGTTATTTACAGCACCACAGTTGTATCATTGGGTACTTTTTAAGTGAATCACCGATAGATGTGGGAGGAAATATGTATGAACGTGTATGTGTAGTGTGTTTTGTTTTAGCCAAGATGGCTGACGTTTCTCAGTGAAAAGGTATATAACGAACAATGTATATAACAAACTGACACTCCGGTCCCTTGTAGTTTGTTATATCCATGTTCTACTGAAATAAGGTTTTCTGATCACGGATTGTGCAATTTCGCCATTTGCACTACATTGTACATGTTGTAATCTAATTTTGATATTAAGACAAATTCAGCTACTCGGATGAATAAAGTTGATTAGCTGAGTGTTTCGGTATTGTAAATATCAGGAATATAAATTGTATAATTGTATAATTGTAAGCCTTTGGCCTTTTTCCTCCTAAATGATATTTACGATACAGAATCACTTTATCATATCTATAAAGTTATTGCCATATAATACACTGGATAATGGCTAATGGTAATCTTAATGTATGTGTCTTGCAGTGGCTCGAATGCATCACAGCTTGGACGTCTTGGAAGACGGAACTCTGGTTCTGTTCGGTGGCCGAATCTCTCCATTTCGTCTGTGCTCACAGCTTATTAAGCTCAAACTGAACGCAACGAAGAAGGATTCGCATGTAACAAATTCAAGTTCGAATGAAACTGAAACGGGTGTTTTGTCAAATACACAAACTGATTTAGCTTCCAATTTAGCTGCCTGTGATATTGATATTAAAAACGCTTGTTCAAGAGCAAGTGTACAGAAAGCTAGCTGTGATATATCTGATGGTGCATGTGTTACAGTAAATACAAATTCACAACCAACAACTGTACCACATCTAAATATTCAAGAAAATTCAGATATAAATGCTGACAATGAACAACAAAGTTTGACAGACAAAATGTCTGTAAGTGATTCTGTCAATCATAAAAAGAGTAAAAAGGCTGTTCGTCCAAGGATAAAGGGGGGTAACTCTAAGAATGATAAATCTGAGATACAAAAGGGAGATAACTCATGTAAGGACTGGAGTTTTGACATGGAGTCCAGTGTGCTGGAACAGACAGGAGATGTGCCTTGCCTTAGATGGAGACACGCCACAACCAGAGTCGCTGTCAAAGGTCAGTTAGTTTACAGTTAGTGATTGTTTGTGCTTGGCCTGGCATTGTTTGAAACAAATAATTTGTTCCAGAATTACTTGCTTGAAACTCCCATGAAGATCCAGGTCAGAATAGGTCTTCAGCAACCCATGCTTGCCGTGAAAGGCGACTCTGCTTGTCATAAGAGGTGACAAACGGGATTGGGTGGTCAGGCTCGTTGACTTGGTTGATGCATGTATCGTATCCCAATTGCGCAGATTGATGCTCATGATATCATGTGTGGACCAGACTCGAGTATTTAAAGACCGCTGTCATACAGGTGTACTATTGCTTTGTGCGGTGTTCAACAACAAACAAACAAACTTGCATGAAAGTACTCATGGTGATAATTTGCCTTCAGGTTTGACCAAACAAAATTAATTTTTGTACAAAATGTGTTGTACAAAGTATATAATTGTTTGGATCCACCTTTCACAAAAAGAAATTGCATGATTTGAAAAAATATCTTGTTTCTTACAAGAAATTCAAGGCCCAGCCTTCCCCCATCCACAATATATTTCATATAGGTTCCCTCACCATGCTCACCATACTCACAAAATCTGTCACTTTTATGCACAATCCTGCTGAGTCTACCAGTCTGAACATTTCAGGAGCTTTCTGTCTTAATGCAGACCGCCTCCGTGGTCTTGTGGTAGAGCGTCCGCCCGGAGAGCGGAAGGTCCAGGGTTCGATCCCCGGCCGCGTCATACAAAAAGACGTTAAAAGATTGTACTTGTTGTTACCCTGTCTGGCGCTCGGCATTAAGGGGCTAAAACAAGGACTGGTCGGCTCGGAGTCAGTATACTGTGTCTGAGTGGGGTATTCATGTTAAACTGCAGCATGGTATCTCAGTGAGCTAGCACTATAAATCGGCATCAGTCCGGACTAGTACAAGCAGCCACACACACACATACACGTGCATGCACGTCACTATATAAGTGCAATAATCTTGGACGCGACGTTAAACTCAATTTCACCTCACCTCACCTGTCTTAATGCATGGACATCAATACCTGAGCTTTCTGTCCCAGGGTTATCAAGACCTCAACTCTTGTCCAGCCCTATGATGATACATGTAATTTATAATCCCTGATGATTTTGACGGAATCAGTCATCCAGCCAGTAACTGTCATTGTTGATCTTTTCAAGGTTGCATGATCAGAAAACACAATCAAACTTTCACGACAATCTGAGTGGTCAGATGAAAGGTCGTTCTGACGTGACCTCTAGTAGGATGTCCTCAGACCTTTGTGTAGCATTAAGATTGAGGTGAACATTCACCTTTCTTATACCTGTATTAAGAATCTTGCAATTCCATTGGTTAATCGTACCATGTGACGAAACAATATATTTCAATATAGACCCCGAAATCATGCGACTGACACTGACCTCGAATATTGACTCGTCACATGATCAGTATTGACAGCGTCTGGTGCGAACATTTTATAGTTCACAGCTAAGTTACTGTAGCGAGACAGAGGACAGTTTGAAGACTTCATTAACTTTAAAGTGAAACTCAGTATAACAAAATAAAAGATTACACTTGACGAGGTCAATATGCAAAACCTAGGACTTTATGCCTCGGCCCCTGAGGTAGTCTGACCGGAACATTCTGCAGCCTCAGTCCGGTCAGACCACTTCAAGGGTCGGGTCTGAGGGTAGCCTTGATGGCCAAGGTTCCTCTGTGAACAAACTCATGGTTTTAGAGTTATGGGGAGGCATTTGACCCAGCTATTATACAACTTATCCATACTACAAAAGCATTAACTTTTCTCTCACACATGAAGCTGACATGACGTAAAACTGAAATACTGTTCAAAGTTATGTGAAATCCAACACTCTCACCCAAAGATTTGTCAAAAAGTTATGTATTGACCTAGGTGGAACAGGTCCTGATGAGTACTCTAATGCTTCTTGTAGGAGGTAACTCATCTTTCCGAGGCAAGGGAGTTACCTGACTTTAAGAAAAACAGTTTTCACCCTTGTCAAACTAGGCTGGAATAATAGAGTTATATTTTGGCTGGACTAACATGTCTATTCATAGTCCAATCAAAATCACCATGCAGATTTCAGTTGATTGCAGGATTTGCAAAGCATGTGGACCATCAACTTTGCATCAACAGACATTTTCCAAATCTTTTTATGTTTTTAATCAACATGATCAAGGTGCTCATGTGATTTGGTGCACTTTGCAAAGTAAGACTCATTTTATTACAATATAGATCTTGATTATCAATCTGATCATCTTCACTGGGCGCCGCCATTTTGTTTGAAGCAAATGCAGGTGTTAACAGATGTGGAATCTGATTTGTCAGTTTGAGGAACATAGGGACATAACTTGTAATAGCAACTGGTGGTGCTACGATCAAACCCAGAAATTCCGGCCTTTACTGTCAGTTCACTCCCTTGCCTCGGGACGATGGCTGTAACTAGAAATGTTTTGCATCAAGTTGCCATATTCCTATGGCATGAAGATTTGCTGATGCTATTAACAACTGGCTTACCTTACAACAAATCCAGACTTATACCAATAAGGCCGCTGTGATGTAGCTTGAAAATTGCTGACTGAGTGTATATAAAAATATGAAAATACATAATTACTCATTTGTTAAAAAGAAGTCAATCTGTGAAGCCCCCTGTTCACTTCCACACAGGTGAGGAGATGGTGTTGCTGTATGGGGGCCGGAACTCCACAGATGCTGCCCTCCGAGACTGCTACTTGTTAAATCCTAGGACGGGAGTCTGGAAACAGGTATCTCACATGTGTTGTCCTTCCAGGAATTGCCAAAATGTTAATCAAACCAAGGAATGTGTAGAATGGCACAAATCGTACAGTAAGGTATATTTTGGATGATCCCAAACATCTATAGTCAAAAGGCATTACTAATGGCTCGATACCCGTGAAGATCCGGGGTAGTATCATGAGTATAGGTCTTCAGCAACCCATTCTTGCCATAAGACGCGACTAACGGGATCGGATGGCCAGACTCGCTGACTTGGTTGAAGCATGTCATTGATCCCAATTGTGTGGATCGATGCTCATGATATTAATCACTGGATTGTCTGGTCAAGACTCGATTATTTACAGACCGCCGTCATATAGCTGGAACATTGCTGAGTGTGGCGTTAAACAACAAACAAAAAAAACTAATGGCTCTGCAACTGAAGCTGGTTACCTGTACTTTTTACCCTGTACCTGTACACTGGTTATTACTGTTTGTAATCTGAAAAAGTTGGAAGAAAGATTTTGAATAATATACAGAACCTCCCCTTGTGTCTTTTGAATATAAGAGAATACACTTGGTGTGATTCTCGATTTATTATGTTTAAGCTGGACTGTGGAGGCGAGAGCCCTGGGCATCGTCAATCCCACACCCTGACATCCTGGGGGGACAAGGTCATCCTGTACGGGGGGTTGAATGAGTTCCTCCTCCCCTACAACACTGTGTACTGTCTGGATCTCCCCACCCTCACCTGGAAGAGAGTCCCGGTCATCGGAGCCCTCCAGCCAAGGTACAGCTGCACTTGTATTACCGTAATTTGCTATAGTTATAATTTAAGTACTACCACTCTCACCAAGCCGAGGTACAGCTGCACTTGTATTACTGTAATTACTATAGTTATAATTTAGGTACTACCACCCTCACCCAGCTGAGGTACAGCTGCACTTGTATTACCGTAATTACTATAGTTATATTTAAAGGACTACCATCACCCTCACCCAGTCGAGGTACAGCTGCACTTGTATTACCATAATTAATACAGTTATAATTTAAGTACTAATCCGACCCTCACCCAGCCGAGGTACAGCTGCACTTGCATTACCGCAATTACTATAGTTATAATTTAAGTACTTCCCCCACCCTCACCCAGCCGAGGTACAGCTGCAATTTAAGTAATTACTTTACATGATGTAGTTATAAAGTGCACTAAGAACAGCATTTTATTACAGCAAAACATTTTGAGATTATTTTTATTACTGAAGAAGTTTTACTGTTGTCGGCAAAAAAAAAGTCAAGACTGATATGATTCGATTTTTATATTTTCAAAATTTTAAGGTCTGGGGACCTGTCAACCAATCATTATAATATGTAAGACCTAAAATTTGTTTCCACTGCATAGTAAATGAATTGCTATTGTTTCTGTGGCATTTGATTATCTAACCAAGCAATTTTGTCTGTGTTTATGTTTCTATAAACTGCAAAAATATCAAGCCATGCCCATGAACAGACTACTGTTTCCTGATTGGCTGACAATTGACTGGGTGGGGCTTGCATTGCATTACTGCACTGAACAACGTCAGTGATTTCATATCCTTGTCTACAGTTGTTTGTGTGTTGATGATTATTAAATAAGCAGTCTGTGAATTTAGTATTGTTGAAATATTCATTGCACAAAAATATTGAATTCAATTCTTAACCTATTTTTGTAGGTATTCCCACACATGTCATGTGACAGACAACATGTTGGTTGTGATTGGTGGAGTCAATCTATCCCATGGTATTCCTGGAGTGGCCCTGCTCGATCTCCACACAGGGAAGTGTGTGGAGTATGACCTGCCAGTGAGTTCACACACATAGATGAATTAGTTTGTGTTACAGTTGATAGTTCCACTGGATGCAATGGATCCGTGAAGATCCCGGTTAGATTAGGTCTTCAGCAACCCATGCTTGTTGTAAGAGGCGACTAACAAGATTGGGTAGTCAATCTCGCTGACTTGGTTGATACATGTCATCATACCCAAATTGCATGGATCGATGCTCATGATATCAATCACTAGATTGTCTGGTCCAGACTTGATCATTTACAAACCGCCATCATATAGCTGGAATTTTGCTGAGTGAGGCATTAAACAACAAACAAACAAACAAACTTGATGCAATGTTGGTATTGCTTGCAGTGGCTTTATCATGATAATGGCCTCACCGTAACTCATTCACTGTGTACAGTGCACAGGCCATGGGTGGATGCTTGACTGTGTTTGGCAGCTTGACTCCTGACTGTTTCTAGGGCTTAGTCCTGCCCCACACTTAAGCACATGTAGCACGTGTGGGGTCTCCTTAGGCAAGTGACTTTGTTCGAAATGTGCCTCTGTTCACCCAGCAGTGAATGGGTACCTGATTGGGTGGGATGCCTGACAAGGCAACTTGGGTTGCTGAGAATGAAATTCAAGTGAGTATGTAGTGTTTTGAGCATGCTTTAGGTTTTATGAATATGCACATTATTATTATTATTATTATTATTATGATGATGATGATGATGATGCAGTTGAAACTTGTTAATTTTGACGGTATACTTCCTGTTGGAATTGTCTGAATTAACAAAGTTAGAATAGGGGCATTTTTTGGTCCAGGCATCTAAGACATCGCAATTCACTGTGCAGACTTACATCCCATGGGCTCACCAGAAACCTATGATTGTGGGTTCCAGTCCTGCTTCGCCCCAATTATTTTTCTAGGTTTGTGAGCACCATACCCATGCTCGTAGGTTTCACCAAACTGGTAAACGTCCGAGACCTGCATCACTTTGGGTTGACATGCAGTGATATAACTGGAATACTGTTAAAAGTGGCATTTAACCCAACTCACTCACTCTGTGTAGATTGTGTCAAGTGCAAAAGGCCTGAGCCTCGTTGCACAATACGTTGTGTATAGTGCTAAGGTGATCGTAACTCCCATACAGCATGGGTTTACGATAGTCTTAGCACTAAGATGCAACGGGCCACAGCTTACAGCAGAGATTGTAACCCTTCTCTTTCACACAGAGTTGTAATAACTGTAGCACCAATAAAACATATAGCGAACCGGCCCTGTTCTTGAAGGGAGTTGTGTAATTGTTTCAATAGTGGCCCTATTTTGCTTGTCCTGTATTTATGTGTGACTATTATTACAGTAACTATGGTAACTATTGCAGACTGCACAGAAGGACAACCTGAAGATGTTCCACAAGCACTCCAGCGTCAGCACAGCTGATGGTCAGTTTCTCATCTTCGGAGGCGGGGGAAACTGTTTCTCCTTCGGCTCGCATCTCAACGTCTCTCCGTTTCTCCTGGATATTAGTCTGTGTATGCAACACTTTGTGCAGAATGGCTGACCGGAAGCACTACAGTGAAATCTGTCCAAACATTGAATTCAGCGGGCATTTGCAGAAGATTACACTTTCACATGAATTTGGATTCATCATATTCATGACTGAGAGAAGGTCGTAGAGACTGATCATGGTCAGGTCTGATAGAGAATCTATAGGCTATCAACATTAGTTTTTCAAACAAACAAATGTCTTGGAACTAAGAGTTTGGCTTGGGAAAAATGGATTTTTTTTAAATGGTCACGAAAATGGAAGTTTTAAACAATGGTCATAGAAATTTTTAGTAACGGTCATGGAAAGTTGAATTTCTCAGTAACACTCATTGAAAATGGAAATTTTAATAAAAGTCATGGAAAGTCTGTCTTCTTTCTACCTTTGCAAAAGCACGAGTTCAAATTCTAAAAGTCTTTTAAACCCTTCTTATTCAACAATTAGCATTTTTAATCGGAAGCTGAAAAGTTACCTGGCCCAATTATTTTTAGAAGTCGCCAAAAACAATGTACTTATAGTTCAGTGTGTCATAATTTATCACAACCGTATATCTTGTAAGTGTCGAATGCAGCTATATTGTCATTTTATTAGTATGGATGCCCCAGCTTCTGAGGCAGCACAATTCACTGTCCAGAGTTATGTCCCTTAGACGTGCCAGAATCCTGCAATCTTGAGTTCAAATCACAGATTGTGAAAAGTAAGTCTCACTAATTGCATTATATGGTATTCAAACTACAAATTGTTAAATGTTACTTGGTATTTGTGTGTATTCTGTATATGTGCAGTTGTGATGAAATACATCTCATTATCTACAATTTATGATGAAGTGAAGATGAACTATGTATGAATAATTAAACACCATTTTAATGCATTGTCTGTGTTATTATTGATATTTACGGTCATAGCCAATTGGGTCTGAACGCCTCCATGGTCTGGTGGATAGAGCAAGTTTGGTTGGTTGGTTGGTTCGTTCGTTGTTTTACGCCGCACTCAGCAATATACCAGCTATATGACGGCGGTCTGTAAATATCGAGTCTGGCCCAGACAATCCAGTGATTGATATCATGAGCATTGATCCACACAATTGGGACCGATGACGTGCATCAACCAAGTCAGCGAGTCTGACCACCCAATCCCGTTAGTTGCCTCTTACAACAAGCAGGGTTGCCTTTTAAGACGAGCATGGGTTGCTGAAGACCTATTCTACCCCGGATCTTCACGGGTCCATGTTCTGTGGAGGGCAAGATCGGTGGTTCCGGCCGCATCATACCAAAAGATGCTAAAAGATGATATTTGTTGTTAGCCTGCCTGGTGCTTGGCTTTAAAAGGGGCTAAAACAGGGGCTGGTTGGCAGGGAGTCAGCATATATACTGTGTCTGAGTGGGGTATCCATGTTAAACTGCAGCATGGTATGTCAGTGGTCATGCACTTTCAAACTGGCATTAGTCCGGACTAGTACAAACAGACACACACACACACATACAAAGCAACATGCATGCAGGTTTGTAAATGAAGACAAACGCACACACTTGGTTTCAAGTCATCCTGCCCAACCATGTGGATCCTTGCATGGCCAGATGTGATTATTTACAGGCCACTGCAATATTGCAGTGTAAAACAACAAAACAAGCAAATCAGTCATGACAGCTCATAATAACAGCTTTAATAGGACAAACAGGGTCAATTGACAGTTTCTAAGCCTCACATGGAAGGAATTGAGTGATGGGGAAGTTTTGTGTTGTGGACATTCCTGATGTCATAGAGGTATAGCCACTAAAACTTGAGTCAATTGAGCACACAGTAGTTCAATATTGAGCACACAAAATATTAAACTACTACGCAATTCCTTCTATGAGAGGATTAGAACTTAATGAACCTCCTAGGACTCCTTGGATTAAACACAGGAACAAAATTCATGGTTAGACATTTGTCCATGGCCAGATCACATCTTGAATTACTTGAAACTAAGGATCCATCTGTCACATTCCAAAATAAATTAAATCTGCAACAGAAAATAATGTCTGCTTATCACATATAAACATTCACAGTAACATTTTTATTGTGGGACTTCTCAAGGTCACTCTATGAAGTACACTCCTTACGTGAAAGAAGACCACTACCCCAAATTACCTCCTAGAAGATGTGTGTATTTTCCACAAGAAAATATGGTAATATGCACAATGTATTAATACTCTTTTTCCAAGTGTCCTGTGGCAAACTTTGTGGTCGACTTTGAGTCGCCGCGATTTTCGCTGTGCAGAGTTGAGTCCCTTAGCTGCTGTGTTCAGACCCGAGAGGGCGCTGATTATGACCTGAGGATTGTCAACAGGATGTTCGTGTTTGCTGGTTCCAATGTGGTAAACCTTTTTCAAACCGCGTCACTTCCGTCTTTCCTTGCACAATGGGTTACGCAGATCTGTTATAAATTGAAACATTGTTCAAACCAGCGTTAAACGCAGCTCACTACTCATTCATGTAATCATCCGTTTTAATTAATTCGTGCTGTTTGAAAAAGTATTTATGAATTATCCTTGGATAAGGTTCTTTTGCCTTAAAAGAACATTTTTTTCTAAATAACATATTTTCAACCATAAGCTAATCCTTGCTTATTTTGTTGAATTTGAGTGTTTTCGTAAAGAACAAACAACAAATCCCTCGTTGCTATTATGTTCAAGTTGTTTTGCATCTGTAAGTGGTATACATAACGCTGTGAGTCAGGTACGTCATATGTTTTGGTAAGATCCCTTTTGTCCACTTCCTCTTCGAAAACAGCCGATGACGAACCCAAAACCATCCTGAAATCAGCAAAGAAACAGTAAGTAGTTTGTCTAGTCCAGTCCAGTATTTACTGGCTTGATGTCTTACTGTAGCCTAAATCATCTCATTCCAAACCCCAAGCAGGGGCGTTGAATTGGATACCAATAGTTGGTGCTGCAGTTTGAGAGGCGTTTCGTTAGTCAGGTTAAGAATATAACGCACAACTAAACGGTTGTAGAACATGTCCTGAATACACCAACACATAGTCGCCTTTAGCATTGGAAAGCTATTCATGAATCAGTTGGACTGCTGACCTTTTTTCAATATTAATCTTGGATCTCTTGTGTGGTCTTTTGCCGCACAACTTTCAAACAGAAAAGCATATTTCTACTGATATGTCTTTCTATGTAGGAATGACATTTCACATTACGATCACCCCTAAGGGCGAGTCGTTGTCTCGCCTTAATGAGACTCAGAAGTAAGCCCTATTACTGTCTGAACCCTCACACCTTAACACAAACTTACGTAGTCATTAAATTACGATCATCCCTAAGGGCGAGTCGTTGTCTCACCTTAACGAGACTCAGAAGTGAGCCCTATAACTGTCTGAACCCTCACACCTGAACACAGACTTACGCAGTCGTTGAATTACGATCACCCCTCAGGGCGAGTCGTTGTCTCACCTTAACGAGTCCAGGAAGAGCTCCCCAGAACGACGAGTTGGGCAGTACCTCTCTCCCCGTGGCCTGGCGCCTGTATTTGTTGTAGGTGACCCCGCCCACCAGATATACGAAAATCAACACAAATAATCTGTGGACGAAGGTAGGCGTTTTAGTAGCAGACAATGAGAATCAGTGACCACCGTTACCTGCCTCAGTGGGTAAAAAAAACCTTCATGAATAATGTTTGATTTTATATATGTCTTGCATTTAAAAATATTACCAAGATACAGTTAAATGTCATCATACTGTAGAATACCTTAAGTCCCGATATGTCTTAAATAGCATCTGGAATATATATGATATATGGGAAATATAGGTGAATTATTACGCAACGAGTTGACAATTCTTTTAGCAATGCCAATTTGCGCTTCGACAGTCGCAAAAATGGCCACGAGAGGCGTCCATATTGAAATTCTAGTGAAACGTTTAACTTGTAACCATTTTATGGACTACACTGACGACGATGGACAACATAAATATTGACATTCAAAACCTTTAACCGATTACACATTAATTTCAAATTAACCAAAATAAATGGTCATCAACCTTACATTATAAGCAGTATGGATCCTCCGGTTAGAGTAACCTCCACGTTGGAATTATAAGTTGTCTTGTGACAACCGTCTGGACATGCGCACTTCGAGGTTATGCGTCCATACTGAGAAGAAAACGAAGAAGTGTTATTGATATTATGATAATAATCTCAACTGTTTCTTTCACCCGCTCATCAAAAGAAAAACATGAACAGATACATATTATAAGAAAAAAGTTGCGTCCCTCAGACGTTCCAGAATCTTTTGATCGTGATTGTTGGCACCATACCATATGCTCGTGCGTTTCAAGAAAGTGGTGAACGTCCAAGACATACGTCACATAGCGCTTAACTCCAGCATCAGGCTGATACACCGTGACATGGCGTAATGTTTAAAGCGGAGTTAAAGCCTAGTCTGTCTTACAGACCCTGATACAGTATCAGGAATGAAGAGAGTCTTTGGGCTCCCTTTTAATATATTTTTATTAAGATAATTGAACAACTGTACAAACTAGTACCTTATGTTTGGTCATCTATTTGTTTCATTGTTCAAGATACTACAGTGAGTGAGTATGGTTTTACGCCGCTTTTAGCAATATTCCAGCAATATCACGACGGGGGACACCAGAAATGGGCTTCACACATTGTACCCATGTCGGGAATCGAACCCGGGTCTTCGGCGTGACGAGCGAACGCTTTAACCACTAGGCTACCCGACCGCCCCAGATACTACAGTGAGTGAGTATGGTTGTACACCGCATTGAGCAACGTTCCAGCAACATCACGACGGTGGACATTATGGACTTCTCACATTGTACCCATGCGGGGAATCGAACCCGGGTATTCGGCGTGATGAGCAAACAATTTAATCTCCAGGCTACCCCACCGCCCCCAACGTTACTTTAAGGTGTTTTTACTATTAATAATAATTTACTCACTAACTGTAACTGTAATTATGTTAATATAATGACAACTGACATATATAGGACCTGTATGGCCTATTTGGCTTAACAGAAACTTAACTTCATACTGTGTAAAAAACACACACTTAAGATAATTGAACAACTGTTTGTTTGTTTTCTGTACAATATGTTCATTTCAGAGACAAGATGTTAGTTCACGTTAAAGCCCAAAACTTTGGAACTTTCCTTCAACATTAAGCTGTATGTTATTGTAGAACCGACGCAGTGTTGAAAGTGGCGTACTATCCAACACACTCTAAGGCGCCGCGATTCGCTGTGCAGAGTTGCGTCCCTTGAACACGCCAGAAACCTATCATTGTGGGTTCGAACCCGGATTCGCCCCGATTATGTTTCTAGGTTAGGTTTTCACCTGCATCACCTCGGGCTTTCCTCCCACATTAAGCTGACACGCCGCGATACAACTGGAATAATGTTAAAAGCGGCGTTAGGCCCAACTCACTCACTCACTCACACCAACACACTCACTCGACACCTCTGAAGTACTTACATATTGGGGTTCTCCTTGTGATCCCTGGATCTCAACAAACGGCTCATCGTAGCTCGGATCACAGATAACAGTGATGAAAGATTCCCTGTAACACGCACACTTGTCATTCGCATTTGAAGGTTTGTTCTTTTTTTCCTTTCTTTTTTTTTATTCTCGTGTATGCATATTAGCTGCGTATTTGTTGTTTAACGCCGCACTCAGAAATATTTCAGTTATATGCCGGCGGTCTGTGAATAATCGAGTCTTGACCAGGCAATCCGATGATTGATATTGTGAACAACGTTTCACGTCGTCAGGATATGAGGACACGCAGTTAACCACGTCACTGAGTTTGAAAACCCGATCCAGTTGTCCGCCTTTTACGACCGGGACCCGTGAAGAGCCGGGGTGAAATAGGTCTTCAGCAACCCATGCTTGCAGTAAAAGGCGACTATGCTTGTCGTGGGAGGAGACTAACGGGATCGGGTGGTCAGACTCGCTGACTTGGTTGATGCATGTCATCGATCCCAATTGCGTGGATCGATGCTCATGATATCAATCACTGGATTGTCTGGACCAGACTCGATTATTTACAGCTTTACATATAGCTGGAATATTGCTGAGTGCGGCGTTAAATAACAAACAAACAAAACAAATCTTACGACCGGCATTGGCTGCTTGGGATATCTTCTAACCCGCAATCTCCAATTTGATGTGTGGATATTTTATCAGACACCAGGTTCAATCATATACAACTCACAAGAAGTTGAGGAGGGCACCCCTGCTACGATAGATTAACTATAGCAATATGAAAGAATCGGTGACCCTCAATTGCTTTGAGCAGTATATATGAAAAAACATGACGTCACAAAATTGATAAGGGTTTGTCTTACAGGTAAAATACGCTACCACAACTTTGCGAAAGCCGATTTAATAAATTGCTTTTAGAACAATGATGTTATGATGTTGAAAAGGAACACATTAATGATCTTCTAGTACCTTATGTTTGGTCATCTATTTGTTTCATTGTTCAAGATACTACAGTGAGTGAGTGAGTGAGTATGGTTTTACGCCGCTTTTAGCAATATTCCAGCAATATCACGACGGGGGACACCAGAAATGGGCTTCACACATTGTACCCATGTCGGGAATCGAACCCGGGTCTTCGGCGTGACGAGCGAACGCTTTAACCACTAGGCTACCCGACCGCCCCAGATACTACAGTGAGTGAGTATGGTTGTACACCGCATTGAGCAACGTTGCAGCAACATCACGACGGTGGACATTATGGACTTCTCACATTGTACCCATGCGGGGAATCGAACCCGGGTATTCGGCGTGATGAGCAAACACTTTAATCTCCAGGCTACCCCACCGCCCCCAAAGTTACTATACGGACTTTTTACTATTAATAATAATTTACTCACTAACTGTAACTGTAATTATGTTAATACAATGACAGATGACATATATATGGCCTATATGGTATATTTGGCTTAACAGAAACTTAACTTCAAACTGTGTAAAAACACAAAGAAAGACCAAGATTTATTACTATTAGAGTACAAAGGTGAGGTGAGGTGAAATTAGGTTTAACGTCGCGTCCAAGATTATTGCACTTATATAGCACGTGTGTGTGTGTGGCTGCTTGTACTAGTCCGGACTGATGCCGATTTATAGTGCTAGCTCACTGAGATACAATGCCGCAGTTTAACATGAATACCCCACTCAGACTCAGTATACTGACTCCGAGCCGACCAGTCCTTGTTTTATCCCCTTAATGCCGAGCGCCTGACAGGGTAACAACAAGTACCATCTTTTAACGTCTTTTGGTATGACGCGGCCGGGCATCGAACCCCGAACCTTCCGCTCTCCGGGCGGACGCCTTACCACTAGACCACGGAGGCGGTCTAGAGTACAAAGAAAGTCAAGCATATATAGTTGTACATCCCTGTTGGGGAATCATGAATAAAAATGATAATTATGGTGTGAACATAATTTTTAATTGAAATGTAGAATTTTTCAAATTTTAATTTTAAATAACATAGTCTTCTGAAGCCCACGGAGTCAACCCTTAGTCCGATTTTAACACAAGTAAACTTTTGATCTTCAAGCTAGTACCCGTGTGTTATGTGTAAAAACCACAACCTGGTAGATCAGAAAACTATCAGTTATTGTTTGTTTATTCGTTGTTTAACGCCGCAATCAGCAATATTCGAGCTGCATGACGGCGGTCTGTAAATAATCGAGTCTGGACCAGACAGTCCAGTGATTGACATCATGAGCATCAATCCACGCAAATGGGATACGGTGACATGCATCAACCAAGTCAACGAGCCTGACCACCCGATCCCGTCAGTCGCCTCCCCATTGTTTAACGCCGCAATCTCCCGGTTCGCCCCGATTATGTTTCTAGGTTTGTCAGCACCATACCTGTGCTCGTGGGTTTCACCGAAGTGGTAAACGTCTGAGACCTGCATCACTTCGGGCTTTCCTCCCACATTAAGCTGACCCGCCGTGATATGACTGGAATACTGTTAAAAGCGGCGTTAAACCCAACTCACTCACTCACTCACTATAAAACTGGCACTTGTCTGCACGCACATACGGGTAGGTTCAGAGGATCCCGAAACAAGGTAAAATGAACTCTGAAAATTTTGATTCCGATATGGCTGCCAAACCACGTCATAAATGACCACAGTCAAAGAAGGTGAAATGTCAAGCATCTAAAGTTGGTTGGTTGGTTTGTTGTTTAACGTCGCACTCGGCAATATTCCAGCTATATGACGGCGGTCTGTAAATAATCGAGTCTGGACCAGAAAATCCCGTGATTGACATCATGAGCATCAATCCACGCAATTTGGGATACGGTGACATGCATCAACCAAGTCAACGAGGCTGACCACCCGATCCCGTTAGTCGCCTCCCCATTGTTTAACGCCGCACTCAGCAATATTCGAGCTGTATGACGGGGTCAGCGATTGACAGCATGAGCATCGATCTCCGCAACTGGGATACGATGACATGCATTAAGCAAGTCACCGAGTCTGACCTCCCGATCCCATTATTGGCACCTTACGACAAGCATGGGTTGCCGAAGATCAATTCTAACCCAATTCTTCACGGGCGACAAGTATGGGTTGCTGAAGATCAATTCTAACCCGGATCTTCACAGAGCATGACCACGTATCCGTGGCGAAGCGGTTTTTCATTTCTCACTCTGAGTAGAATTTCCTTACGGAGCAAAATGCGATAGAGTTCTCTGAACTTTTACCTCAAGGTGTCGGTGGTGGCGCTGTAGTATATCTGGATGTCTGTTCCATCATAGGACCAGACTGATGAACTCTGGTCGCCGGTCTGCCATGACTCTCCCTCGTAGGAACTCTGACACATCTGTAACGACAACGTCGAGACGAGTCATGTTATCATGGCAAAACATATCAACATGATACAACATTGCAACATGACACACCATTGCAACATGACCCTCCACTGCAACATGACCCTCCGTTGCAACATGACACACCATTACAACATGACACGACATGATAACATGCCCCTCCATTGCAACATGACACGACATTGCAACATGACACACCATTGCAACATGACACGACATTGCAACATAACAAGACATTGCAACATGACACTACATTACAACATGACACGACATAGCAACATGACACACCATTGCAACATGACACGACATTGCAACATAACAAGACATTGCAACATGCCCCTCCATTGCAACATGACACGACATTGCAACATGACACGACATTGCAACATAACAAGACATTGCAACATGACACTACATTACAACATGACACGACATTGCAACATGACACACCATTGCAACATGACACGACATGATAACATGCCCCTCCATTGCAACATGACACGACATTGCAACATGCCCCTCCATTCCAACATAACAAGACATTGCAACATGACACTACATTACAACATGACACGACATTGAAACATGACACTACATTGTAACATGACCCTCCATTGCAACATGACACGACATGATAACATGTCCCTCCATTGCAACATGACACACCATTGCAACATGACACACCATTGCAACATGACACACCATTGCAACAAGACACTACATTGTAACATGACACTACATTGCAACATGACCCTCCATTGCAACATGACACTACATTGTAACATGACACTACATTGTAACATGACCCTCCATTGCAACATAACACACCATTGCAACATGACACGACATGATAACATGCCCCTCCATTGTAATATGACACACCATTGCAACATGACACACCATTGCAACATGACACACCATTGCAACAAGACACTACATTGTAACATGACACTACATTGCAACATGACCCTCCATTGCAACATGACACTACATTGTAACATGACACTACATTGTAACATGACCCTCCATTGCAACATAACACACCATTGTAACATGACACGACATGATAACATGCCCCTATCTGTGCACCGCACACAAAACTCACCACAGCGTCTGTACATGCATACCTATCTGTGCACCGCACACAAAACTCACCTCAACGTCTGTACATGCAAACCTATCTGTGCACCGCACACAAAACTCACCTCAACGTCTGGACATGCAATTTATATGTGCACCGCACACAAAACTCACCACAGCGTCTGCACATGCAACGCATCTGTCCGACGCACACAAATCTCACCACATCGTCTGTACATGCAATCTCTATGTGCAACGCACACAAAACTCACCACAACGTCTGTACATGCAATCTCTATGTGCACCGCACACAAAACTCACCACAGCGTCTGGACATGCAATCTCAATGTGCACCGCACACAAAACTCACCACAGCGTCTCGACATGCAACCTATCTGTGCACCGCACACAAAACTCACCACAGCGTCTGTACATGAACCTATCTGTGCATCAAACACACAACTCACCACAGCGTCTGGACATGCAACCTATCTGTGCATCAAACACAAAACTCACCACAGCGTCTGTACATGAACCTATCTGTGCATCAAACACACAACTCACCACAGCGTCTCGACATGAACCTATCTGTGCATCAAACACAAAACTCACCACAGCGTCTGTACATGCAACCTATCTGTGCATCAAACACACAACTCACCACAGCGTCTGGACATGCAACCTATCTGTGCATCAAACACAAAACTCACCGCAGCGTCTGTACATGCAACCTATATGTGCACCGCACACAAAACTGACCTCAACGTCTGGACATTCAACATATCTGTGCACCGCACACAAAACTCACCTCAACGTCTGGACATGCAAACCTATCTGTGCACCGCACACAGAACTCACCACAACGTCTGTACATGCAATTTATATGTGCACCGCACACAAAACTCACCACAGCGTCTGCACATGCAACGCATCTGTCTGACGCACACAAAACTCACCACATCGTCTGTACATGCAATCTCTATGTGCACCGCACACAAAACTCACCACAGCGTCTGTACATGCAATCTCTATGTCGACGCACACACATCACACCACAGCGTCTGAACATGCAATCTCAATGTGCACCGCACACAAATCTCACCTCAACTTCTGGACATTCAACATATCTGTGCACCGCACACAAAACTCACCACAGCGTCTGTACATGCAAACCTATCTGTGCACCGCACACAAAACTCACCTCAACGTCTGGACATGCAATTTATTTGTGCACCGCACACAAAACTCACCACAGCGTCTGTACATGCAAACCTATCTGTGCACCGCACACAAAACTCACCTCAACGTCTGTACATGCAACCTATCTGTGCACCGCACACAAAACTCACCACAGCGTCTGTACATGCAACCTATCTGCGCACCGCACACAAAACTCACCACAGCGTCTGAACATGCAACGTATCTGTCCACCGCACACAAAACTCACCACAGCGTCTGTACATGCAATCTCTATGTTCACCGCACACAAATAAATCTCACCGCAGCGTCTGTGCACGCGTACTGACTGAAGGGATAACAGGGGTTGTATGAGTAGGTGTAGGTGTCGTACAATGCGGTGTAGTCGCTGTACCTGAAACATTAAGTAAATTTCAGTGGCACAGTTTGACGCCATTACACCAACCAAAAAGCCACCCCTGAAACAAACCACTGAAACGGGTAGACTTATTGTCTTCATTCACACGTCGAATTTTTCCCTAAGAAGATTTCTCGGAAAGTTAGTGCATCTCTTTAGCGAAATTAATGTTTATTAGAAACTGGTAATTATTTCAAAAGATATGTTACCCGTGAAGATCAGGGCTAGAATAATTCCTAAGCAATCCATACTTGTCATACGTGACAAACGTAATCGAGTGGTCAGAAATGGATTCTTACGTTGCATGCGTAACGCCTTTTGTCCTCAAACGCGACGTTCACATCGATTTTCTTACGTTTGTCCAGCAGTAGCCATGAACACAAACTTGATTACTTACTTTGGCGTTCCATCACTGTTCCCCGTGGTCGTCATATCGGCTGTGCCACTACCGTCGTCGAACACACACATACAGGGTCCCAAGCCCACACACTGCTTACCCTGGGACCCTGGCAGCACCCCCAGGGCGAGCACAACCCCTACGGATAGCCAGAAAGGTGTCACGCCAGCCATGTCCAAGCGAACCAGATTTGACAATAAGCATGTGACATTTGCCTGCTTGATAAACTTGATAACAACCGAACGTGATGAGATTATCTACACCATGATAACGTTATAATATATACATACTGATTATTGTTTGTTTCTGTGTAACAACGCCGTCTTGGTATTGTGTAGATATTTCAGATTGAAAATGGGGGCACGGGTGGCCCAGTCGTCTAAGGCAACGCGATTCGCTGTACAGAGTTGCGTCCCTTGGGCACGCCATAAACCTATGATTGTGGGTTCGAATCCCGGTTCGCCCCGATTATGTTTCTAGGTTTGTCAGCACCATACCCGTGCTCGTGGGTTTCACCGAAGTGGTAAACGTCTGAGACCTGCATCACTTCGGTCTTTCCTCCCACATAAAGCTGACACGCCGTGATATAACTGGAATACTGTTAAAAGCGGTGTTCAACCCAATTCATTCACTCACTCAGATTGAAAATAAACTAACCTGCAAAAGAAACGGTAAAATTATCTACTTTTGTGTGGATTAAAAGTTGGTGAGTGTAATATTTGGGATAACACTTTCTTAGTAAAGCACAGTTTCTAAATTTTGGAGCACACAAAGTCAGCGATCTAACCCGCTCAGCCACCGAGGCTTCCACAGAAGTGAAAGTCTGACAACTTGTAGTCTAGATCACGTACTTTGTGTATCCTACTGGCAAGTGTATATTGGCACGGCTCCCATGGCCGAAAGCTATGAATGAATGAATGAATGTTGTTCTGTGCCGTTGTTGTAATATACCAGCTACATTACGGCACACTTGTCGAGTTGGATGAGGGTAACCAGTGATAGAAAGAAGTTGTCTGCTTGTTGTTTAACACTGCACTCAGCAATATTCCAGCTTAATGACTGCGGTCTATAAATAATGTCAACAACCGATTGCTGCTGACGTATTCTGCCCCTGAAATTCAACCGCATGTATGAACTAAATGCCGACGTTGGTTTTGTTTTTTAACGCCGCATTTAGCAATATTCCAACTAAATGACTGCGGTCTGTAGATAATCGAGTCTGGACCAGACAATCCAGTGCCTGAGATTATGAGCACCGATCTACGCAATTGGGACACGATGACATGCATCAACCAAATCAGCGAGCCTGACAATCCAATCCTGTTAGTCGCCTCTTGCGACTCTTGTTGTTTGCTGAAGACCATTTCTAACCTGGAATCTTCACGGAGGACAAGCATGGGTTGCTGAAGACCAATTCTAACCTGGAATCTTCACGGAGGACAAGCATGGGTTGCTGAAGACCAATTCTAACCTGGAATCTTCACGGAGGACAAGCATGGGTTGCTGAAGACCAATTCTAACCTGGAATCTTCACGGAGGACAAGCATGGGTTGCTGAAGACCATTTCTAACCTGGAATCTTCACGGAGGACAAGCATGGGTTGCTGAAGACCAATTCTAACCTTGAATCTTCACGGAGGACAAGCATGGGTTGCGAGAGACCATTTCTAACTTGGAATCTTCACGGAGGACAAGCATGGGTTGCTGAAGACCAATTCTAACCCGGATCTTCACGAGGGGCTACAAGGTGATGCCCTGAAGTGTTGACTGCACAATGGATTGAATGTTGTTTTATGCAACTTTTAGTTATATTCCAGCACCATCACGGCAAAGGACGCAAGAACTTGCTTAACATATAGCACACCCATAGGGAATTGAACCATGGATTTCGCCACACCGAACGCTTTTTCACTATGCTACCCCACCTTATCACACTAAAGGAGAAATAAGCTCTGTTTATTTGGTTGTCTCGGCAAATGTGAATGACAGTAATTATTGGTGGGCCACGCAGATATCAAATTATTCAAAATACGTCGCATTTTCAACTTCAAAAGAATGCAGTTCATGTTCATCTGGAATAAACCAATTTATACCCACAGTGATTGTTACTTTCCATGTATTGCACGAGCATGGGCCCAACGACTGGTTGCGTTCGGGCGTGTTTTGGGTAGCTTTTTCCATCACCTTCAATCTTGCACTTTCCATTGGTTTTGATAGTCGTTGTCCAGTTTTTCCAGTTTCATAGAAACATCCAATCAGTGTGACATAGGCTTAAACAGCATGCTCCCCGACTGTTGATCACATTGTCAACATATTCAGACATATTGACGATTTTGGCATATGTTCATGTTTGACACCCTACATACCACGGTGACCCTTCAATAATCAGTTTTAATTGTTCAATAAACCTGAATGTATGACTTTGTAGTGCTCAACGTGTTTCGCTGACAGCGCCTTAAGATGCTAGGATCAACTGATTAAGGAGATGAAGTTGAACCTGTGGCTACTCCGTGCCGACCAGTCCGTGTTTTATCCCTTTAATACCTCAATGATCTTTGGAATTGAGTTGAGTCGAATACATGAAGGTGACGAGTGACAGATGAATATTCGGGGTGAAACCGTCGTCAAGTTTAGCCCTTATATCACAAACAAGACAGTGCGATGTGAAACCAGTTATCATAATAATCTAGTAACTTCCAAAGACAGGGTAGAATAAGCATTTTAATACCACAAATATCAATTTCCCGATCCAGGATCAAGAAAATCATTGTCATGGCATAACAAGTACCTGCTAAATAATACAATCACTCCAAGGAAGAAAATAGAAACATTGTTCTTCATGTTATATTTTATGGTTTAAATACACTTTACTTTCTGTTCCATTTGTTTGCCTTCATTTCAAAACGTGGGACCATCCCTTTATTAATTTCTTCCATCTGACTTTTGAATGAAATGATTAATTAATGTTCTGGAACACATGGGTGATGTAGTCTTCGTTGTTGCATAGGGTGCATTTATTTTGTAGGTGAGTATATAATGATGTGACTCTAGTGTATCATATATTTTGGTAGGATGATTTCTGTCCACCACCTCTCCGAACACAGCCTAGGACGAAACAAACACCTTCCTGAAATGAAAGTGAGAGAGTGAGAGAGTGAGTGAGTGAGTGAGTGATATCACATGGTGACAGCGTAAACAGAGAGGAAAACAATCATGTCTGTATTACATCAACAATGAAGTCTGCATTACGTCAACAATGATGTCTGTATTACGTCAACAATGAAGTCTGTATTACGTCAACAATGTTTCTGTATTACGTCAACAATGATGTCTGCATTACGTCAACAATGGTGTCTGTATTACGTCAACAATGAAGTCTGTATTACGTCAACAATGGTGTCTGTATTACGTCAACAATGATGTCTGTATTACGTCAACAATGGTGTCTGTACTACGTCAACAATTGTGTCTGTACTGCTTCAACAATGGTGTCTGTACTTCTTTAAAAATTATGTCTGTATTACGTCAACGATGATATCATAGTTGCTTTAACAATGGTGTCTGTATTTCTTCAACACTGGTGTCTGTATTACGTCAACAATGATGCATGCACTACTTCAACATTGGTGAATGTATTGCTTCAACAGTGCTGTCTGTATTACTTCAACAATGATGTCTGTATTGCTTCAACAGTGCTGTCTGCATTGCTTCAACAATGATGCCTGTATTGCTTCAACAGTGGTGTCAGTATTGCTTCAACAGTGGTGTCTGTATTACTTCAACTACGATGTCTGTATTGCTTCAACAGTGGTGTCAGTATTGCTTCAACAGTGGTGTCTGTATTACTTCAACTACGATGTCTGTATTGCTTCAACAGTGGTGTCAGTATTGCTTCAACAGTGGTGTCTGTATTACTTCAACTACGATGTCTGTATTACTCGAAAGTGAACCATATAATTGTCACTCCTTAACACAGACTTATGCAGTCGCTAAATTACGATCACGCTGCAGGGTAAATCAGCGTCTCACCTTAACGAGACTCGGATGTAAGCCCTTTTACTGTCTGAACCCTCACACCTTAACACAGACTTACGCAGTCGTTGAATTACGATCACCCCTAAGGGCGAGTCGTTGTCTCACCTTAACGAGTCCAGGAAGAGCTCCCCAGAACGACGAGTTGGGCAGTACCTCTATCCCCGTGGCCTGGCGCCTGTATTTGTTGTAGGTGACCCCGCCCACCAGATATACGGAAATCAACACAAATAATCTGTGGACGAAGGGAGGTGGTTTAGTGACGGGGGGAATCAGTGACCATTATTACTAGGAGCCCGTTCCTCAAAGCGATCTTAGCGCTAAGAGGGTCGTATCTTCCGTACTTTGACATGGACTTCCGACAGTCGTACTACACTCTGTTTTACAAAGCGATCGTATAGCAACGATTGTCGTAATTTACGACATACTTGCCGCTAAAATCGCTTTACGAAATTGATCCCTGCTTCTTTGGGCAGGAAACATTTAAAAATTAAGTTTATTGCGCCTATGAGTGATTGGGTGACCACCTCTTGAAAGTAATGTGGGAGGAAAGCCCGAAGTTAAACAGGTCTCAGACCTGTTTGGTAAAACTCACGACCCCGAGCAGGGAATCTAAGGTTCGAACGAACCCACGACGTGGGTGTGTGAGCATGTTTAACATAGATAATCCAACTTGGTCAGTAGACTGACTCCGACCAATCCTCGTTATATCCCTTTACTGCCGAGCACCAGGCAGGGGAACAAAAAGTACCATATTTTAAAGTCTCGACCGGGGATCGAACCACCGACCTTCTGCTCTCCCGGCAGAGGCTCTATCCACTAGGCCACGGAGGCCGTCATACCGTTTAAAAAATACAATGTAATGCAATCGCTCGAAAAAGAGGGATAGCCATGTTTCATGTCCGATAAAGATTTAAACATATTTAGATCGTCTCACAAAGCAAGTTTAAGGCTTCTAGTCCTTTATATTTAGTTATCGGGGAAGATTTTGAAGATTAGGTATTACATCAAAGAAAGCTACCTAACGTCTATTTTGAAAATCAAGTTAAACGTTTAACTTGTAACAAATTTATGGACTACACTGACGACGATGGACAAGACCCGTGACGATCCGGTGTAGAATAGGTCTTCAGCAACCCATGCTTGCCGCAAAAGGCGACTATGCTTGTCGTAAGAGGCGACTAACGGGATAGGGTGGTCAGGCTCGCTGACTTGGTTGATGCATGTCATCGTATCGGATCTATGTTCATGATGTCAATCACTGGATTGTCTGGTCCAGGCTCGATTATTTACAGACCGCCGTCATATAGCTTGAATATTGCTGAATGCGGCGTAAATATAAACATTGACATTCAAAACATTTAACCGATTACACATTAATTTCAAATTAACCAAAATAAATGGTCATCAACCTTACATTATAAGCAGTATGGATCCTCCGGTTAGAGTAACCTCCACGTTGGAATTATAAGTTGTCTTGTGACAACCGTCTGGACATGCGCACTTCGAGGTTATGCGTCCATACTGAGAAGAAAACGAGAAAGAAGTGGCGTAGTGAAAATATCGCCTGTCACGAGATGAGAGAAACATGATATTTCACACCTGGCATATCCTATTTATTACATACATTTTGTTCAGTTGTCTACCGGAAAGTTAATTTTATTCATTACAAATAGTAAACCTTGAAACGTAAATTATCCCTACCTAACACGAAGGGACGTTTCAACAGTCTTGTAATTGCGTCTTAAAAAGTAGTTCCGAGCTTTTGGCCAAATCTTAAAAAATGTAAACAAAGGTAATAAAAAGAATTGACGTCACTTAAATCCCTTATCATAAACTTCTATATGATCAACTTAAAAAATATATTCTTGAAAGCTACGAGACCGCTGTTTGATGCGAAGGAATCCATGCTGGTCAAGTAAGGAAAATGGCGTTTTGCGAGTTAAATGAGAAATTTACAGTTTATAACGAAACATTTTCGAGAGAATAACAAGCGATATTAACTCCAGAAATGACCACCTGTCATTATCTTGCCGTGTCAATATGGAACTAACGTAAAAAAAAGTCAACAGTTTGTGTACGGGCCAGACACTTACGATAAAGGGAGACAATTTGCGGGGAGGCTACTGTTGTATGACAATAGTTCCGTGAACGTGTTATGTTCACTGCAATGAAAATATGACTTATCTCAACTTCAGGAAACTCTTTCACACTGAAGTATATAATAAACAAACATATCAAAAGGATTTCTTGTGAGTATAATACGTGATGCTGAAAAGTCTAATTTGCGAAGATGACAACAAAGTGCGCATCCCTAACCGCACACTTTTCGGTGGACATAGTTTTTGGAGCTCTACAGAAACCTTTGTCCTTTCCCTGTGTTAGATATTCAATGATCTTTACAGGCCTTATTATCCTGGGTGCGTCAAAGGTAACGATGGCAGTCAACAGCGCAGACCCTGAGCCTGACCGCCTGGTGCATTCAATCGGTTCTTTCAACAAGCAGTGCAGGAAGGTATTCTAACCCTGGACTGGAATAGTGAGTGAGTGAGTGAGTTCGGTTTTACGCCGCTTTTAGCAATATTCCAGCAATATCACGGAGGGGGACACCAGAAGTGGGCCTCACACATTGTACCCATGTCGGGAATCAAACCCGGGTCTTCGGCGTCACGAGCGAACGCTTTAACCACTAGGCTACCCGACCGCCCCTGGACTGGAATAAAACACACATTAACATGACCTAGTTCGAAACTCACATATTGTGCTGACCCCTCTGTTTCCTCTCCCTGGATCTCCACAAAAGGTTCATCATACCCCTTGTCGCAGATCACGGTGATGAAGGATTCCCTGAGGTAAAACAGCGCCAAATGAGAATTTTTAACGAGTAGACACCGCTTTGGATATTAATAAAAAATGACTTCAATTTTAATCTTCGTGTTGGAGGGAAGTCCAAAATGACGCATGCCGTATATGCAGAAAACGGGGATGGTACTATCAGACCAAGGAACGCCATAGACTAAGACAAAAGAAGAAAACGCTTGGAAATAATTGGATTTGACCAAAATATAGCAAACGTTACCAAAACGTAACTAGACTTAAAACTTGAGGTCCAAAAACACCACCAGTGAAATATCGCTGATAACTTTTTTCGGGAACTAAAAACGTTTTGTTTGAAATTTCACATGTTGCCCCTATCTTCTTTCAAGATCGTTTGCAGAGTTGCGTCCCGAGGGCACAATAGAAACCTATGATTTTGTGTTCCCGGTTCGCCCCTATTATGTTTCTATGGTCAGCACCATACCCGTGCTCGTGGGTTTCACCGAAGTGGTAAACGTCTGAGACCTGCATCACTTCGAGCTTTCTAATCTAATGAGATCGGTAAGAATATCTTTCAATTTTACCTCATGACGTCAGTGTTGGCACTATAGTAGACCTGGATGTTTGTCCCGTCAAAAGACCAAGTGGCTGTACTCTGTTCGCCAGTCTTCCACGATTGCTGGCTGTAGTCACTCTGGCACATCTGCAAAGACAGTAACATGGTCAACGACACCCCTGAATTCACATATCGTTATCGGGGGGCACGGGTGGCCGTCTCTTCATATCGCACCGACCCGTGAAGGTCCGGGGTAGAATAGGTCTTCAGCAACCTATGCTTGCCGTAAAGGGCGACTATGCTCGTCGTAAGAGGTGACTAACGGGATCGCGTGGTCAGGTTCGCTGACTTGGTTGATGCATGTCATCGTATCCCAATTGCGTAGATCGATGCTCACTTGATTGTCTGGTCCAGACTCGATTATTTACAGACCGCCGTCATATAGCTGGAATATTGCTTAGTGCGGCTTTAAACAAACAAACAAATCATATCTCAGTAACTTACGGGCAATGACATTAAAGTGATGGAAATTACATATATTTTAATTTTACTTAATTAGAAACTGATATAATACGTTAGACCGTATCAAATAAACCGTAAACAAACAAACAAAATGCGACAACAAAAGTAGGTTGTCGTGCAGTCTGAACACACCAGGCCAGGAAGAAAAACATATGCCTTGGAATTCTTTATTTTTTTGTATTTGAATTCATACAGAAAAGAGGGACTGCTTCCAGTCTAATAAAATGTGTGTAACATGTATTTGCACTACAGCTAAACTATTTCCTTGATCTTTTACCAAATTGGAGCTGTTCTGATAACACACTAAAACACACTTAATAGATAAATGGATGACATAGTATTTTATTCAGTTTGACAAGTAAAATCTGACATGTTGTTCCCAATTCAGCATTAAGAACAACAATACATGTTTGCTAGAAAAATATTCATACGCCGTGATTTGTCCACAAGATTTCCGGGTACAACTGAACTGGGACCGTCTCTTTATATCACAACATGACGATGCGCAGAGGCGGCCATGAATCAGCTCAATTACCAATACAGTGTGACAACGTCTATAAAACATTCAGATCGTGGCGCACACTCGTAACCAATCATATCGCAGCACACACTGTTGATCAATCAGACCGCGGCACATATTCTTAACCAATCATATCGTGGCACACATTCGTAACCAATCATATCGTGACACACATTCCCGTTTGTTTATCATTCACTCTGGTCTCACCGCAGCATCAGTGCACGAGTTCTCTGTGAAGGAGTAGCAGGGGTTGTAAGAGTAGAGGAAGGAGTCGTAGAGGGCGGTGTAGTCTGCGTACCTGAAACAGGACAGAATATTCTTTCAGAGGATTTAAATGGGTTTACCTTAATACAAACGTGTCATCATATTCCATTCTGAAAATATACGGCATCGCCGCTGTACGTAAATACGAGCTGAAAATGCAGCGACTTACCCACAAAAGCCGTCTCCATGTACGTAATTAAGTTTGTTTTGTTTTTTTATAAACATTGGACGATCTCAAAGCCAATCAAAACATCATCCTGCCAAAACGATCCCTTCGGCAAAGATTTAACAGCGGTGAACTGCCTGCCTGATGGTGATCTGACAAACTTAAGGTAAATCAAAACATCATCCTGCCTAGAACGGACAAAACGATCCCTTCGGCAAAGATTTAACAGCGGTGAACTGCCTGCCTGACGGTGATCTGACAAACTTAAGGTAAATCAAAATATCATCCTGCCTAGAACAGACAAAACAATCCCTTCGGCAAAGATTTAACAGCGGAGAACTGTCTGCCTGACGGTGATCTGACAAACTTAAGGCAAATCAAAACATCATCCTGCCTAGAACGAATTTAACATCGGTGAACTACCTGCACGATAGTCATCGGAGCACTTAAAGCTAATGTTAGGAGGGGGTTTCCAAGTTGAAAGGCGAAGGTTAACCCTGTAATCAGTCCATACAGAACTAAATTGAATAATCAGTAAATAACCACAAAAGAGAATAATACATTATAAATTATATTGAAACACTTAGGATCAGGTTTACAATCATGAAAGGCAATACATTGGTCAGATAGGTGGCAACAGCTAAAAGTAACAGGGTCTATTATATCAGTCTGTGGACTAATGTCCTGAATTTGTCACGGTTGAATATCTGGAGTGAGGCCCATGCGCCATTCCTGAATCCAGCATATAGTGATGGAGGCAGGCAGAAAGATCAACCCTTTCAGAATAGGTATCGCGTCCGCACTGGAAGAGTAGATAAATCAGATCTCAGAAGATCTCAAATCGACCTCGTGTTTGTCTTATGTTGGTACAGCCTGTTGCCATGTGAACAATACAGTCTGTCTCAGTGTCGCTAAACAAAGGTGGATAACTCTCAAGTACTCCTGTTGTTGCATACCGTCAAAACAAAATATCTGGAAACAATTTTACGAGCGCTTCAATCTGCTGCCACTGACAATCATTTGAAATAAACTTGACATCTACTATCACATATACCGTCAATAACAATATATCTGGAAACAGTTTTACGAGCGCTTCAATCTGCTGCCACTGAACAACCATTTGAACTAAACTTAACATCTACTGTCACATAACACTCTGACGTTCAAGAGAAGAGAGCATGATCACAGTGAAAACTTCTTTAAAGTGGGTATTTTCAAGGATAAAAGTGTGAACATAACATATTTTATTTCACATGTTAAATGCCATCTTCTGCCACATAACACTAACAAAAACAGCATCCTGTGAATTAGAGACAAATGGACCCTTACTTTGTTATTTACGGTGTTGTATTATACACTGAATATCCTAAAGTTTTTATCGTACCGTAGGCCTTAAACAAGGATGAGTCCTCAGTCCAATACTATTCTCCTAATCTATGAATTACGTTATCAATTTGAATATTAAAGCATGGCAAATATGCTCTGCAGGAGCAGCTGTGGATCGATTTATTAGAAACAAATATCGACATTTGCAAATGATGTCATTCATTGCTTTATCAGACAGCGTACCTTGTCAGAACCAGTTAAATATCCCGAAAACCATACCGACATTCAGGGGTTAATTCAGACAAGACAATTGTTGTAGTGTGTAGAAGGGGAGGGCCATTGATATTGTTCATTGATGTGTCAACGTGCATGTCCACTGTGTAATTTTGGTAGAGAAGCTTAACACCTTTACGTTTATATTTCCTCTTTCTGTCATTATGTAAGATGATAACAATTACCACATGTATATTGTATATATGTACATGTCAAAAGCCAAACATCTACAAGTTAAGATTTCTTATGTCAGCAACAGTTGAAGAACTACCGAATCATTTCTGTAAATATCAGTGACATTCATATCAACAACAAGAACGTTTTGTTAAACAAGATATCCCTATCGTTTCAAAAGTTGACGCATACAGATGTAATGTTTTAAAATATATATCACTGTATATGGGCCGATGACCTACATACTCAACGAAACACTCAACTCTGTCGGATAAACACAACCGAGGGCTCGGAATATTTCCTGACGATTATTATTTCGGTAATCAAAATAGAAAACAACCAAAGAAACCTACATATCGTCCGGTCAGGCTGAAATTTTCTAATGTATATGTCACTGATTACAAAAATGATTACCAACTTAAATAGTTGGAAATCGCTGATGTCTTTTGCTTTACGGCCGGTCGGGTAGCCTAGTGGTTAAAGCGTTCGCTCGTCACGCCGAAGACCCGGGTTCGATTCCCAAGCCCATTTCTGGTGTCCCCCGCCGTGATATTTCTGGAATATAGCTAAAAGCGGCGTAAAACCATACTCACGCACGCACGCACGCAGGCACGCAGGCCCGCACTCACTCACTCACTCACTCACTCACTCACTCACTCACTCACTCACTCACTCACTCACGCACTCACTCACTCACTCACTCACTCACTCACTCACTCTTTTGCTTTACGTATTTTCAACTAAACTGCCGGGCCTAATGAAACGAACAAGACATGGTTATTGGAAGGCGATGTATTCGATACGGATATCATAGTTGAGGTTTGGACCTTAAGTTTGCAATGTTTAGGCGACGGTGTTTCAGCCTAGCGCCGTTTTGATAACATTTGTAATATTTTGGTCAAATCCCAGTTTCCCGTGTATTCTTTCTGTTGCCCACCAGTTTAATATATACGACTTTGGAGAGTTCTCAATTAAAGTTGGGACGAATGACCTAGTCGTCTAAGGCGCCGCAATTAGCTGTGTAGGGTTGCGTCCCTTAGGCGTACCAGAAACCTATGGTCGTTTGTTCGAATCCCAGATTTGTCCTGATTGTGGTCTAGGTTTGTCAGCATCGTACCAGTGCTCGTGGGTTTCGCCAAAGTGGTAAATGTCTAAAACCTACATCACTTCGAGCTTTTCACCCTAATATAGCTGAAATATTGTTTTAAGCATGTTTAGCCAAATTTCACATTTAACACATTAAAAAGTTTGTTTTACAACACATACGACTAATGTGAACATTATGACAAATATAGATTAAAAAAACTTACTTTGCCGTTCCATCAGTGTTTCCCGTGGTCGTCATATCGGCTGTGCCACTACCGTCGTCGAACACACACATACATGGTCCCAAGCCCACACACTGCTTACCCTTGGACCCTGGCAGCACCCCCAGGGCGAGCACCACCCCCACGGCTATCCAGAAGCGATCAATAAACCTAAACCCCATGTCCAAGTGACCCAGATCTGCGCATCATGTGACTTGCGCGTGCTTGATAACTCCGTAATAACCTAATATGACTGCAGGTTATCAACACGGCGCTTACATTTATAGTGCATACTGCCGTTACGATAGCATATTTCTGGGTGAAATTGTTTCGAGCTATGGACCGACTGTACTGACGTGTATGTGATAGCGGACCTGAATTTGTAGCCTCGTTTGCTCTTGATACATCCTCGATAATCCAGGGCATTAATCTCCATTCTATTAAGATAAAAACCCTTGATCCATTCGCCACCAAAGTTACGTTTAGAAAGTGATGTTACCATCTCAATCTCTCTTAACACCAACATTGTTTTGGGTTCTCTTTCTCATGGGTGTAATATGATTTTTTTTTTGCGATGTGTCCTTCGAATACGTTAACGCAGTTGGTCAAAGATATGTATCAATACAGAGTGGTTAGGTGAGGTGAAATTGAGTTTAGCGTCGCGCCCAAGATTATTGCACTTATATAGCGACGTGCATGCACGTGTGTGTGTGTGTGTCTGCTTGTACAAGTACGGACTGATGCCGATTTATAGTGGTAGCTCACTGAGATACCATGCCACAGTTTAACATGAATACCCCACTCATACACAGTATACTGACTCCGAGCCGACTAGTCCTTGTTTTAGCCCCTTAATGCCGAGCGCCAGACGGGGTAACAACAAGTACCATCTTTTAACGTCTTTTGGTATGACGCGGACGGGGATCGAACCCCGGACCTTCCGCTCTCCGGGCGGACGCTCTACCACTATAATTTATATGCGAATGCAGATCGTCAATCTTTCTTCAGGGAAACATGGCGACAGCTGGTTAAGCTTATGTTCATTACTGCAATTAGAGTTTTGCAAAGAAGAATAAGAATATGTCATAAATAATGCATACCCAAGAACAAGATAAATACGTACAAACATAAAACCAAGATGAATAAACAAATTTATAATCATACCGTTTGAATCTCATATTTAAAACAAATTCTACTTTCTATTCGTCAAATGTCCCCCCATTTGGCAATGGAGTTGTAGTGTCTAATGTATGTGTTGTTTCTTCCGTGTATAGGTACTGGTGATTGTAGATTTGTCTTGACTATAAATTAATCAGTTGTTGAAAATACGAACGAGTGTACAATGTATTGCACACACCTGATGTGCAACTGTGTGGCCCCATGTAGATATGATTTGCTGCAGGCAAGTGATTCACAACTGCAGAAATAATAACATTTGTTGTGTGGCAGTGTCATATTGTATGTTTAGTGTGTCGTGTTAATGCAGTTGCAGTATTTTGAGTTCAGAAGACTTTCTGTCTTTCCAGAATGGTCACTTTATAATGTTACAAGCTATTCTGCTTTCCTTAAAAGCGTGATGAAGTGTAATGATATCCAACATACCCCCATGCTTTGGGTGAAGATCATGTGCCGTTGTGTTTTGTGTGAAGATCATGTGCCGTTGTGCTTTGCGTGAAGATCGTGTTCCATTTTCTTTCGTGTGAAGATCATGTGCCTCTGTGCGTTCTGTGATTATGCCATGCTGCTGCGCTGATGTGTATATCTCGTACCAAAATGGTTTTTGAATGTCACATGCTCAGCTATTTTCCAGCAGTAATGACCGATTGTGATTTTATATTTCGCATTGTGGTTACAGGTAAATATCAACCCATTTGGTTAGAACAATTTCTACCGGGTGTGTGTGGTGTCTTTGATTAGTGTCCATTTGCAACCAGTTGATGGAGGTATGTGATCTCTGACTCCACATAGATTCATCAATTATAACAGTCTAACCATATATAAAATATTTGATTAACAGTGCCACTACATGTACAAGACATTAGAAATAGTAAACGAAATGCGCTGAAATTTCTAATTAGCATGTGAATAAGAGAAAGTGACTTGATAATTCCTATTAATCAAAACTGTTAATAAACTCAAAATCATATCTATCGGAGACACCTCAAGAAACTGAGTTACCAAGTTGTATTCATTATTATATTTACTACAATTGAAAATACTTTAGTGTCAAATTTTTAACAGGAAAGGGCATGCACACAAGAATCGCATACTCCGGTGTGTGCAAGTAATATATGGACTTGGCATCACTGTTCTCAGCTTTATAATGCTTCACACAGGTGGTATATCTGAATTTGTAGTGAGTGAGTTTGGTTTAACGCCTCTTTTAACAGTATTCCAGTTATATCGCGGCGAAGCAGCTTATATAATGTGGGAGGAAAGCCCGAAGTGCAGGTCTCAGACGTTTACCACTTCGGTGAAACCCACGAGCACGGATATGGTGCTGACAAACCTAGAAACATAATCGGGGCGAACCGGGATTCGGACCCACAATCATAGGTTTCTGGCGTGCCCAAGGGACGCATCTCTGCACAGCGAATCGCGGCGCCTTAGACGACTGGGCCACCCGTGCCCCCTCTGAATGTGTAGATGGAAGCAAACGTATACATGTAGCATGAAAAACACTTGCTATTCGTCAGTCTACAACAACTCAAAACAATCAAACAAGTGTGTTTTGTCTATGCAATATCCTATCCTTTGGAACCGCTTGTGCACAAGCAAGTTAATATTTTTTTTATCAAAATCTATTTTAATTTGTTTCCACCATTCCCTCTATGCCCTGTTATGCATGTTTATGTTGCTAAATCTTATTTCTCATGTCAGTGACCGATTTCAACCACATGTTTGGGTGTTCCCCAATCTCCAGTATCACAAAACACTTGAGTTTTTCTCCTCCCTTATCTAACGTACGATAATCAGATCATGACCATCATCTTATACACAACAGATGATGTCAGGGTATTTTATTTGGTTTTATTGTCTGTGGCCAGTGCTAATTTTCACATACAGGACCGTTAGCTGATATAAGGAATGTAACATCCAGTTGATCTTCCAGGTATCTTACTTACTCAGTCTGTTCACGAAGTGTGTACAATTAATATTTTGAAAAAGACAGTTAAACGACATTTGTGACAGGGAGGATCGTATGGCAGCTGTAGCCGACAGATTAACGGCCGTTGTCGACGAGCGGTACGTGCATCGCTAGGTTACTTGAACAGCAGTGGCCTTGCAGAATGTTACTATTCTTTAATGATTTCTGTGGTCAGTGGAATGTGACTGTGGTCGGTGACTACAGAGACAGTCTACAGCAATATATGAATGTACCTTAGTATATATTTGACACATTTCTACAATCACCTTTCAGTGATCGGCCAATTGGTCAGTGATGACTAACACTTGTGATAGTTCATTAAACACTTCGGAAATTTACCCCGTCACGTTTATCGTGTCAGCCATTGTGACGTCATGTACTTGATGTACAATTAATGTATTACGACGCGCTGTCATTGTGACTGACTTACTGACGGACCTTTCTCGACAAATGAAGAATGCTGATATTATTTGAGTACATTTGTTCACAGAAACTACAAAAGTTGTCCCTGTTGAGCATGTTAAGCATACAGAAGCTCATGTCACCTCTCGTTTTGAGGAACTATTTTATTCCGCGATACAGCTGGTTGTTGTATGGCTGTCAGTGTAAACATGACATCACACGTACTAAATATAATTGTGAACAGATCAAGGTCTACGTCCTTTGTGGTAAAGGTAGTGATATAAAAATTATAAGAATTGACTTTCACTTCGTGTAAGTTCATTGGAGTATGAACCTTAACAGAGTGAGGACCAAACTGTTTGAACTTCGGAGCTTGCGACAACGTGAAAGGTGAAAGTCAATTCTTAAGTAAATTTAATCACAATGACATCGTGCATGAACAGCACATGATGCACGTGCATACAGAAGCCAAAGTGTGTGCTCCTGTGGTGGATTCTTGACCATGAGACCGCCTCCGTGGTCTAGTGGTAGAGCGTCCGCCTGGAGAGCGGAAGGTCCGGCGTTCGATCCCCGACCGCGTCATACCAAAAGACGTTAAAAGATGTTACTTGTTGTAACCCCGTCTGGCGCGCGGCATTAAGGGGACAAAACACGGACTGGTCGGCTCGGAGTCAGTATACTGTGTCTGAGTGGGGTATTCATGTTTAACTGCGGCATGGTATCTCAGTGAGCTAGCACTATAAATCGGCATCAGTCCGGACTAGTACAAGCAGCTACACAAACACACACACGTACATGCACGTCGCTATATAAGTGCAATAATCTTGGACGCGACGTTAAACCCCATTTCACCTCACCTCACCTTAACCATGAGCCCCGATCCGGTAGAAAAGGTCTTCAGCAACCCATGCTTGCCGTAAAAGGCGACTATGCTTGTCGTAAAAGGCGACTAACGGGATTGGGTGCTCAGGCTCGCTGACTTAGTTGATGCATGTCATCGTGGATTGATGCTCATGATGTCAATCACTGGATTGTCTGGTCCAGACTCGATTATTTACAGACCGCCAGATAGCTGGAATATTGCGGAGTGCGGCGTTAAACAACAAACAAACAAATACATCTTGACCAAGATCGGTATCGGGGCGGTAGTGTCATGGTGGGGGCAGTATCACCCCATGACAGACCTGATTTCATTTTTGTGAATGGACATTTGACTGACCAGCGGTTAGTTGACGAAATTTTGCATCCTGTCTTGTTCCATTCTCCAGAATTATCAACAGACATTTTGAGCTCCAAGATGGCAATGCCAGAACACTTCGTGTCCAGATCGTCAGTGTCTCTGACGATAGACATACGGACACTGGATTTGCCCGCTAAGTCCTCTGGCATGTCCCCAACAGAGAATCTGTTGGGTGTTCTCGGGTGCAGTGATGGCTCGAGACCCTGCAGACGCCAACTTGTGGTAGCTCTTCAGACGGAATGGCGGGTAATACCATATGCAACTATACGCCCGCTAATTGGCAGGATGCCATCAAGGCTTCGTGCGTGTATCGCCTGAAATTATGTGCACACCAGATTTATTAAATTAATTTTACAGACATTTATCGTCATGACACCTTCACCATCATTTCATCAGTTCCCTTATTTTTTGTCGGTAGTATATCATTATGTGTCACGTTGTAAGTAATAAGAAAAAGATGAAAAAAATGTATTTCAATTAATGTACATCGCTCGTGAATTTGTAGATAATCTTTAAATGTCAGGTGTTAGGAAGGACAGCTTTTTGTGTTGGGTTTCACAATTCTATAATCCAGGTTGTATAATGACTTTCTATATTAGAGCTCATGTGGGGATTCCTCCACGTGCCCAATTACACACTGTCAACCCCAACCCTCTTGCCTGTCTCCCAAGAAAGATTCCAGGGCAGACCTCAGTACCCCATGCCTGTCTCCCATGAAGATTTCCAGGGCAGATCTCAGTACCCCATGCCTGTCCTCCAAGAAAGATTCCAGGACAGACCTCAGTACCCCATGCCTGTCTCCCAAGAAAGATTCCAGGACAGACCTCAGTACCCCATGCCTGTCTCCAAGAAAGATTCCAGGGCAGACCTCAGTACCCCATGCCTGTCTCCAAAGAAAGATTCCAGGGCAGACCTCAGTACCCCATGCCTGTCTCCCAAGAAAGATTCCAGGACAGACCTCAGTACCCCATGCCTGTCTCCCAAGAAAGATTCCAGGACAGACCTCAGTACCCCATGCCTGTCTCCCAAGAAAGATTCCAGGACAGACCTCAGTACCCCATGCCTGTCTCCCAAGAAAGATTCCAGGGAAGACCTCAGTACCCATGCCTGTCTCCCCATGAAGATTCCAGGGCAGATCTCAGTACCCCATGCCTGTCTCCCAAGAAAGATTCCAGGACAGACCTCAGTACCCCATGCCTGTCCCCCCATGAAGATTCCAGGGCAGATCTCAGTACCCCATGCCTGTCTCCCAAGAAAGATTCCAGGACAGACCTCAGTACCCCATGCCTGTCTCCCAAGAAAGATTCCAGGGCAGAACTCAGTACCCCATGCCTGTCCACCCATGAAGATTCCAGGACAGTCATCAGTACCCCATGCCTGTCTCCCAAGAAAGATTCCAGGGCAGAACTCAGTACCCTATGCCTGTCCCCCCATGAAGATTCCAGGACAGTCATCAGTACCCCATGCCTGTCTCCCAAGAAAGATTCCAGGGCAGAACTCAGTACCCCATGCCTATCTCCCAAGAAAGATTCCAGGACAGACCTCAGTACCCCATGCCTGTCTCCCAAGAAAGATTCCAGGGAAGACCTCAGTACCCTATGCCTGTCCCCCCATGAAGATTCCAGGACAGTCATCAGTACCCCATGCCTGTCTCCCAAGAAAGATTCCAGGGCAGAACTCAGTACCCCATGCCTATCTCCCAAGAAAGATTCCAGGACAGACCTCAGTACCCCATGCCTGTCTCCCAAGAAAGATTCCAGGGAAGACCTCAGTACCCATGCCTGTCTCCCAAGAAAGATTCCAGGGCAGACCTCTGTTCCCCATGCCTGTCTCCCAAGAAAGATTCCAGGGCAGAACTCAGTACCCCATGCCTGTCCACCCATGAAGATTCCAGGGCAGACCTCAGTACCCTATGCCTGTCCCCCCATGAAGATTCCAGGACAGTCATCAGTACCCCATGCCTGTCTCCCAAGAAAGATTCCAGGACAGTCATCAGTACCCTATGCCTGTCCCCCCATGAAGATTCCAGGACAGTCATCAGTACCCCATGCCTGTCTCAAGAAAGATTCCAGGGCAGCAATGAAAACAAGACCGCTCTATATCTTCAAACCAAAAGGAAGAACTGTTTTATTACAAAGTTTGCAAAAGAAAATGACTTAAATGAGGCCAAATGGAAGTCAGGGCCCCTAGCTGCCACAGAAGCGGAGAAGGGAGGTGTTCTAGAAAATCGAAGAGGTTCAATCAGGGGGGCGATGGGTTTTGTCAGAGGAGGGTGGGTTGTTTTATATCCAAGCAGGGTGTTCTGTCAGTGGGGAGGGTACTGTCAGAGGGGAGGGTACTGTCAGAAGGGGAAGCTGCTGGGTTCTTTCAGGAGCAGTTCTTTCAGAAAGGAAGGGAGGTTACTAGCCTCCTCCTCTCAAATAAGGTATTAAATATATGTTACCAGTTCATCAAGTTTCTGAATTCAGAAATAAGTAAATTCAAAATTTTGAGACTTACAGTGACTGATGAACTGACAAATATATGAATATTGTCCATAAATATCACACACAGCACTTCATCTCTTAATACATCGTTGTTTAGTTAGTTGATTTGTTGTTTAACGCTGCACTCAGCAATATTCCAGCTGTATGACGGCTGTCTGCAAAATAATCAAGTCTGGACCAGACAATCCAGTGATTGACAACATGAGCATCAATCCACACATCAACCAAGTCAGCGAGTCTGACCACCCTATTCCATTAGTCGCCTCTTACGACAAGCATAGTCACCTTTAAGGGCAAGCATTGCCTGGGTTGCTGAAGACCAATTCTACCCCGGATCTTCATGGGCCTTTTCCCAAATGGACAGTATGATAATGACATAATGGCCATTATGATGATGACATAATGCATGTACAGTCAAGTCTCGTTAATATGACACTCGTTAATCCGACAATAATCTTTATCCGACACTAATGATGGGAACCGATTAAACAGTGCTATTTAGACCTATTAATTCTTTAAATAAACAAAACAGGATAGTTCGCGAAAGGTTGTTCTGACGTGACCTCTAATGTGATGTCCTCAGCGACAGTGAGAACTTGTATCTGATTTTGAGATAATCTAAGCATGTGATAAATCCTGTTTTCTTTATTTAAAGCATTAATTGTTTACTGTTAAGTAAGTTTATCTCTGCAGCCGTTGTAATATGCATCTACCAGCCGACTCGTCTCACATCAAAACACAGGCTGTGTACTCGCAGGCAGATGACCATTCAGTTCGCTGATAACTGTGTTGGATTAACGAGACTGATTACTTAGTGATTTTGGTAATTAATTGCAAATTAGGTGTGTCGGAGTCGAAGTGCAAGACTGTCGGATTAGTGGGTCTAAACAGCACTGACTTAATGGGTTCCCATCATTAGCGTCGGCTAAAGACAATTGTCAGATTAACGAGTGTCAGATAAACGAGACTTGACTAACATAATAGGGACACTTCCTTTTTCCCTTTTTTATTACGTTTGTATCATTATCTATAGTGTAGTTGTTCGATTTTCGATCACGAACATTGATAGTACTTAATTTCGTTTATCTGAGATACTCGTCAATCAAACAGAATCATAAGCAACCAACCATGGCGGATTTACAGGACTTGCCAGTACAATGCCTGTAATGACAAATAGTTTGTTTTCCTCCAAATCACACAAATTTGTCTATATGTAAACACAATAACTTCATGTCTCCCACAAGCTTGCATGTTTTTAAAGACTCATCCAAGCCCCCCGTTAAAGGGAGACTTGGTTCAGGAAAACTGGCAACCCCATGAAGTTCGATTCAAGTCATTCAACATGTTTAACACACAGTTTGTCTGCTGAATCTTATGATGTATATCTAGCAGCTATATTCTAATTAGAAAGACACAATGTCTCAGTTTCATGGCAAAAATTAATACATCCAGGTCTGCAGTGCTCCTGATAATGTTGGGAATTTTTAAGCCTGAAAAGGCTCCTGTTTGTTATTAAAATGTTGCTATGCAACGGATTTTGAATTTTGTGTGCATATTTGTAAGATTTATTTGCCAGATTTATTTTTCTTCTGAACACAGATTATCTTCAGCACGGTGACCTAGGTTGGACATTGGTACCAGATAGTCCCCTCTTCAAAAATGACCAGTTCCCATGTTGAAACTGCTGCTAGCTTCATCACAGGAGATCACGCTGTGTTTTTGGACATGATGAGACAATCTGTACATCACACATTCTTCATCACTGGAGTTGATGTGTATGCGGTGATGAGGCTGCAGTTTCTGTGCTTGATAGCTTCATCACAGGTGATGTATAGGTAGGTGAGGAGATGATGTGAATTTGTACATAAAACTTTCTTCTTCGTCAGCTGGGAGGTCCGAACATGTCAAGAGTTTGTGTCACTAGGATCAGATGATCCATGAAAGAATTCACGCTCACTCGCAGTTTCCTCGCCTCCGACGCCTCGAACATCCTGCAACAATAATTGTATACAGTAATGACCAGATTTGTTTAACTTAGATATCAGATCCGCCAACCCTAAATTACTAAAAATTGAAACAATAATAATTACATATTGTAATTTTTTTCTTCTGATACGATTCCAGAGGTAAATGAATATAAAAAATCCAAGGTGTCTAGCAAAGATAAAAGAACTGTTACTTTACTTAATAATAATATTTGATCAAATGCACCATATAGTTTCTGGGTACCTCATGTAAAAACAAAAATCATGAATAAATAATAATTTGATCAGATTTCCCAGAAACCATACTGTACCAATAGTTGAATTTTATACTCTTCCCAAGCTGAGGTGAGGTGAAATTGGGTTTAACGTCGCGTCCAAGATAATTGCACTTATATAGCGATGTGCATGTACGTGTATGTGTTTGTGTGGCTGCTTGTACTAGTCTGGACTGATGCCGATTTATAGTGCTAGCTCACTGAGATACCATGCTGCAGTTTAACATGAATACCCCACTCAGACACAGTATACTGACTCCGAGCCGACCAGTCCTTGTTTTAGTCCCTTCATGCCGAGCGCCAGACAGGGTAACAACAAGTACCATCTTTTAACGTCTTTTGGTATGACGCGGCCGGGGATCGAACCCCGGACCTTCCGCTCTCCAGGCGGACGCTCTACCACTAGACCACGGAGGCGGTCCTCTTGCCAAGGGCAGAAGGAGTAAACTTTATAAATGACAGCTCCCTGCTCTTCACCTTGTGTTCTATATATATTAGATAGCTTCGCAATAAATGGCAAAGAACAATAATGGTGAGTGTGAGTGACTGAGTTGGGTTTAACGCCGCTTTTAACAGTATTCCAGTTTACCACTTCGGTGAAACCCACGAGCACGGGTATGGTGCTGACAAACCTAGAAACATAATCAGGGTGAACCGGGATTCAAACCCACAATCATAGGTTTCTGGCGCCTTAGACGACTGGGCCACCCGTGCCCCCTGCAAAGAACAATAAAGAACGAAACATGGTTTATTTCATGATAAAGCATTGTTCTATCATGACGTCATTTTCTGGTGATTCAAATATGGGCAACTTGAAGATGTCATTTATTTTTGAGAGGGAGTGAGTGAGTGAGTTGGGTTTAACGCCGCTTTTAACAGTATTCCAGTTATATCATGGCGTGTCAGCTTGATGTGGGAGGAAAGCCCGAAGTGATGCAGGTCTCAGATGTTTACCACTTTGGTGAAACCCACGAGCACGGGTATGGTGCTGATAAACCTAGAAACGTAATCGGGGTGAACCGGGATTCGAACCCACAATCATAGGTTTCTGGCGTGTCCATGGGATGCAACTCTGCACAGCGAATTGCGGCGCCTTAGACGACTGGTCCACCCGTGCCCCCTTTTTGAGAGGGAACTTGGAAGTGTCTGTTGAGTTGTTCCCCATAGATGTAGCTGAGCTACAGATATAAACACAATTGCCGAACGATCACATCCAAAAGTGGGAGTGAAATGACAATCATTAGGAAAAAAGGTACAGATAATCAATGTGAGGATGGTGAGAATATGCAGGATATATAAAACTTAACCCTCCTGTTCGAAAAATGGACTTGTCCGACATTTCCGATGTCGGGTTCTATTCAGGGAGTTATCATTATTAAAATTTGGGAAAATATCTTCAAAGCTTTTAAATTTTACCAACATCCTTAAAGAGGCTATGCGTGATGTTGATATCTCATTTAAGAAATAAACGACTTGTGGTCGCTGTTTATCGTACAATGAAACACTGCAGGGAGACTAAACCACTTGGGGCTGCACTCCTCATGTTTTACTCTCCCTTTAGGGCTTTATTGAACAATAAACAACTCCCTCTCATCATTTATTTATTAAATATCAAAACTTCCAGAGAAGTAGCAAATAGTCCACGGCCCTGTTTCCCATAGTGATCAAAAAGCTACGACAATCGTAACTCCCAAACATTAACACAGACCTACGACAGTCCTGGCACTGTGATCGCTTTGTGGAACAAGGCCCCGGGATTTATCTCAACAAAAGGGGATATGAAACCCTGGAAAATCAAAATTATCAAGGATAACAAACCATCAAATACATAACATGGCCTTACACATTCAAGATGTTCCCCTTCAGAGAGAGGGTCCGCCGGACTCCTCCCCGCCGTGGTTCCTCGTCAACACTGAGTGTCCCATGAGCTATCTCGGCCTGCCTCGGAGTCGGGAACGGCACCTTCAGATCACTTGTATTGTCAAGGACAAACCATACAGTTTTCAATCAAAGTTTACCTGAATATATTGTTCCACATTGTACAAGACTATTGCAATAGGTTTGCTCACAACACATTCTAATTACAATTAGATATTTTACTTCCAAACAATACCACTTCATAGTGGGATGCACGAGGTAAACCCCAAGTGAACTTTGTCCAATCTAAATGAAGGACCAGTGGGGTTTTGAACCAATCAGATGTTGGCGTTCTTAAAAAATTTAGCTTCATTTTTATAACCACTTTTATTCAGAATTTTGATTTGTACAAAAGACGACCCACACAGAACACAAATATTCCTTCAATGGTCTTTATTATCTACATTCGGAACTGTCATTTTAATTTATTTCATGATAATGAAATCAGACATGCTGGTTTTATTGCTCATAGCAAGAGTCATTGTATCCAGGTAAACAATTCATATTATGAAATAAATACATGCGACCGTAGAGAATATCAAATATTCACCTAATCATTATCTTTATTGACACAAAATAGCATACAAACATATGAAAGTGGTGCCATTTTTGTCTGGAAAAAGTTCCAGTTTTGGTCAGGTCCTTGTCCGTCAGTCAAGGATGTTTTGAATCTGTGCAATTTCAGCTAGAGCTCTGATGTAAAAACCAAGTCAGCCAAGTTTTGGACATAACTCATGACATGAATCTCAAGTCATGATCAAGCTCATGATTAAGTGTCATGTATTCATGTTTGTTGCAGTAGACACAGTTTATGGAAAACAACTTCTTTAGTTTACTGTAATGGCAACCTTTCGCTTAAGATCCTTACACTGTTGTCAAGCAAGGCAATGGTATATTATAAGAATCTATACTGAAACATCGCCATTACAGTTAAATAAAAAAGTTGTTATCCATAAATTGTATCTATTTTGTCATCCATCAACTTCTAAGAGTGAGTTGGGTTTAATGCCGCATTTAACAGTATTCCAGCTATATCATGGCGTGTCGTTTAATGTGGGAGGAAAGACTGAAGTGATGCGGGGATGTTGCTGACAAACCTAGAAACATAATTGGGGCAAACCGGGATTCGGACCCACAATCATACGTTTCTGGCATGCACAAGGGACGCAACACTGCAAAGCGAATCGCGGCGCCTTAGACGACTGGGCCACCCATGCCCCCTCAACTTCTAAGAAATGCCTATCAAACAATTCAAATTTGTTGTTCAATGAGAACAAAGAACAATTTCCTTTGGCATGCAATGTATCAATGGCAAGACTTCAGCTTACCAGGTGCAGCTTATACAGCTAATTTGCTTCAGCTGGCTCACACTTCACAGATCTAATGTGCCTCTCAATCCTAAGGGTTAGTTGTGTCAGGGTTAGGTTATGTTACCCCTTCCCTTTCCTTAGCCGTTGGATCCCCTTTCCTGATCAAGAACATGGTAAGGCCCCCCCTTCCCGATCAAACACCTCAGAACTCCAAAAAAGCTTTTGGTGTTGTGGGTATTAGATAAGCTTTTGGTGGTGGGTATTTTACCCATGCATTTTAAAATCATTGGGTATCAGTAATTCTATCTGGGTATTCAAACTTTTGTTACCCACTAGTTTTTACACAAGTGGGTATTTAAGTTAAATATCTAAAACACTATTCATCTAGTCCCTGCAAACTGGTGTCGTGTGGTTTGAGAGCTTTATAGGACTCCAAAATACCACAATACTTCCACAAGAAAGTGTGATGGCAAATGATAATGATGTAACTGTCATCGTGGAGTTTGGCAAGGTTGACGGAATGCCCGTTTATAATTTCAAAATAAGTTGCTGATTGCTAATCGAATACTCAGGGTTACTTCACAATATTTTGATGATACACACAAGTTTTATTTTTGTAGCGTATCTGTAATGTTCGTTCCTTATTTGATCATGTTGATACGCTTGGATTTTATTTTACTGCATTTCTGATGCGTATTTATTTGGAGCACATGCGTGTGGAACAAAGTTTCAATGATTCAAAGCAATCAACTTGCATACAGTAAGCTACAGTTATAACGAACTCAAAGGGACCACTAATTGTAATTTGTTATAACCGTAGTTCGTCATAAGCATTTGACAGCACATATACAGCAAATGGACGGACCCAGAAATAGTTTCTTATATCCGTCAGTTCGTTATAAATGTGTTCGTTATAAATGTAGTTTACAGTATTTGGTTTAGGCTTAGGGAACATAATCGCTAGGAAATTCATAACGGACCTAAAACACTTGAGAAATCTGGGGAAACAAAAATTCCCAGTTTTGAAATAAACATTCTTTTAAAAAACTGTTACATGGGAATAATTCGCAGAGAAAAAAAAGTACAAAGGGACATTTTCAGTACAGTAACAAACACTCTTTGACACTGATCACTAGCTAAACAAGCACTAAGTATTCATGGTATTTGTGAATGCACCCTGGTCCAGTTTAACTCATTAGACCTGCCAACCTTCAAGGTGGCAAAGGGAATTCGATCCTCCAACTTGAAATCTGACGAAAGTGCTTCTCCAGCAATGTAGATAAACATAAATAAACGTGTTCTCTACGATGCTGTGTCCGATTGACTAGTCCAGTCGTCAGTCAGAGAGCCGTGAGGGGCAAGCCGTGAAGCCGATTCAAGACACTGCGGGTCGGTTGATCGTCTCGTCACCCCATTACGGCATCAGATGACGGGATAAGCTAAGCGTGAACTAATTCGCGCGGCGGTAGACGTACCCCTTGTCTAATTTACTAACATAACGCCAAAGGGATACACACTGAGATTTCCTTCCATATCGTCAAACGTTTATCAGTAAACGTACAGACTTGTTTTCATTTTGCCATGTGCAAGTCAATGAGGAAGTGATGTAAACCGGAAGTATTGTAGAATACTATTTCCCAACCAACACCCATTAGTGTATATTTGAAACATAAGGTGTCAGCCGTTACTTCAATAATATCTGTTAGATTTGGGGTATTTTTGAAATTACTCTTTTCATAAAAGAACCGTAATAGTAATGTCATTTTCTACGTAGTGATTGGGATAGAAAAAGGGGAACTCCTTCATGCGATTGTATATTCGCTGTTCGAAATGAGACATAAAAATTATATTGCAAAACCATGCATTCCTTTTTTTGTGGTCGATTAAAAGATCGTAAACTAATGTTAAAGTGAAATATATTGTTATATGAAATAAAAGAAACTTACTGCTTGGGTTGTGCATTTGAATTATGAAGTGAACAAGTCATATTCCTTCATTTATAATGGAAGCTTGACGTCATATGCAATTTTGTGGACCATAAATATGTGTCACATTGTGACTGTTTGAGTCGGCGAAACCGGGTGCAGGATGTTGAGGTAAGATTACTAATAAGTGTCCATGGCTGAGGGAGGTAACTGAACCGTCTTAACTGGTTCCACTGTTGGTTCGCTTAGCGCCTTTACTCGTGTAAGTAGACAGGATCCCAGCCCGCCGTATCTCGTCGGAGAAAGAGGTGCTGTTCAAATGAGTACATGCCAAAACGGCCCCAAGATGTCCAAAAAGACCAAGGAAGAACAACGCTGGGTGATGTGATGGAAATTTAAGATAATATATGATTCATATATTTATATGATTTATCACAACTATATGTGGGGGATGGGCATGAAAATTGACACAGTTCTGTTTTATCAAATTAAAAAAATCATAAACTTGAACATTATGGAGGGATCAGCTACATGTGATACAGCCCTTAGACCAATCTCACTCACCTACACATAATACATGACCAGTCCTACATTAGTTTAGTTGACGTATACAACAATATTGGATATAATAAGTTACAAGTGTAATAGTTTCTTATCTACTCTAGGCTTATATTTGTTTTATATTTATTAGACCGCCTCCGTGGTCTAGTGGTAGAGCGTCAGCCCGGAGCGCGGAGGGTCCCGGGTTCGATCCCCGGACGCGTCATACCAAAAGACGTTAAAAGATGGCACTTGTTGTTACCCTGTCTGGCGCTCGGCATTAAGGGTCTAAAGCAAGTACTAGTCCGCTCGGAGTCTGTATACTGTGTCTGAGTGGGGTATTCATGTTAAACTATCAATGCAGGGTTACGGGTGGCCGCAAAGAGTTGCGTTCCTTATGCGTGCCAGAAATCTATATATGAAAGCTCGAATTCGCCATGCTTGTATATAGTTCTAGGTTAGTCAGCACCCTACCCACTTCTCGTGAGTATCACCACAGTGGTATCTAGGACCTGTGCCGCTTCCTCCCGTACCTGATATAAGTAAGTCTGTTTAAAAGCAGCGTTAACACCACCCCACATATTCACTCACTTATCACCTCTGGAGACAATGGCCTTTTTCTAGACTAACATCTGGTCACTGAAATGAACAAATCGTACAGAACAAAAATAGTTAAATTATCTTAATAAAAATAAAAATTTAATAAAACGTAGCCCAGAGACTCTCTTCACTTTCTGAATACTGATATCAATACTGCAGAAACCTAGACTTGCCAAACATTATAGACTTGCATGGGATGTATTTGATATATTTGTATCAGGGTTCGAAGACAGACTAGCCTTTTTGTCAGGCAAGTTGGGCGACATGTTGACGCAGTGCCGTTTTAGCCTGATCCCGTAGTCGCGATGACTACTCCTAGAGGGGTGGGATCGGGTCTACTCTATAATTCCGTTGGTCAACTGGTACGTTAAACGTTAAGTAGCATTAATCGCTGTAATATTACGCAAAACCAGCTGAAGGCGAAGGCCATACCTATATCACGAAGACAGCTGCTAGGAAGCTAGAACACATGACTAACGCATGCCCATCTGTCAATTAGTCCACTTCCGGTAGCTCGTGTCAACAGCAAGTGGAATTTACGCAAGTTTATTTATTGTCAAACCGAGAAATCCCCGGGTTTTCTAGACATGATTTTGTGGACCAGGAACCAGAAACATGTATTGTAGATGACTGGAGGCAGTTTTCGTTTCTTAAACTGGTTTGAGTGACTTTGTAGTATACAACAGACTGCTCAAAATGGGTATTTTGTTCTCAAAGCTTTGGAGTTTGTTCACAAATGAAGGTAAGTTTCAAAGACATTCTTGAAATATTTTCCATGTAAAAACAAGAACTGATGTTTATCTACACGCGTATCTACGTTTCATCCATGTCAGTTGATTTCATTATGGGGAAATTGAGTAGTTTCTGTATGTCGCAGACATTTGACACAATACTTATATAAAAACCCAAAAGTCAAATGATATATATAGGCCCAAATCACGTTTGTTTCTGTTTTGTTACATCCATAATCGACCTCTACCTGTCAAATTGAAACACACAAATTATTTTCTAGTTTCACCTCAACTTACATTGAATGAGTGTTGAATAGTGATGATTGGGTACCCTCTACTTCTGCAAAAGATGTTTACCCAGGTCCCTTGTACTCTTAATACTTATTGTGTGACCGTAAATGAAGATTATAGTCAGATTAGCTCGAAAAACTGTCATAACCATTATCATGATTATTGGTCTGGCACATTTTAATCTGTCATTAACCAACCTTGTTTCCTGTGGACTGCTATCTGTCTACTACTTATATTGCACACCTTTTTCCATCAAAATCCAAACCCCGTCAAAGAAATGCCGATTTAATGTTTTCAACATCATGATGGTAACACAAGTTAGTTGTATTCATGCTGGTCTATTTTATTACATCTTTTCATCATGTTCATGTTGACTGGTGGTTCAAGTTGTAATAGCTATGGCGTCAGACTGTGGTCAGTGGAGCGTGACGTGAGTTTGTCTTCACCCTGTTGACAGGTATAAAGTAACAAGGCATGTGACCTAATTGTACTTTGTCAACTGTAGGAGTGGCTTTACCTTTTAAATGAGGCATAGGACTATAAAGATCTGTGGGCATGATGGCTATCAGTATTTAAAAAAAACATGAAAGTCAGGGGGCCCTTGTCATAACCCCATTGTTAAAACTAGGATATTTAAGGTTCCTAGATTCAAATATCATAGAAGACCTCATGGATGCCATGATCCACCTTATTTTCAAACACTGATGTCAATGTTGCTTCTTCACTATACATTCCACTCTTGTTGAACCTAAATTCAAGGGACAAAACCCCAAACATCTCTTTATACTGTATGTCTGGAGTATGTATGTGTAGGGTATGTACACTCTCAATACCTCTAAGGCATATTTACCTTATTACATCACTGATCCCTATGTTAGGTGTAATTTGTCATGCTTTCTTAGGCTTGATGTCATCAAACTGTGGGTCACTAACTTCCAAGATTATGTACACATGTTCCTATTAAGTTTTACACCATTCATTTATGTGACACTGGCAGCAGACTGGCCTATTTTTCAACTTTGTTGAATGTATGGGTCCAGAGTGCAACCTGGTTTTGTCGTGTGCAGCTAGGTTTTTATGCCAACATGCACCTGGTGCAAGTTAGATCAAGTTCCTTAAATCGAGCCCTAAATGTTTTGTCTTGATTGGTTTGCTTTGAACAACACTGCCATCACAATCGTGTGAGGTGTGAGACCCGTCAAAATCCGGGGTAGAATAGGTCTTCAGCAACCCATGCTTGCCGTAAAAGGCGACTATGCTTGTCGTAACAGGCGACTAACGGGATCAGGTAGTCAGGCTCTCTGACTTGGTTGATGTATGTCATCGATCCCATTTGAGTGGATTGATGCTCATGATATTAATCACTGGATTGTCTGGTCCAGACCCGATTATTTACAGAACGTCATACATTTAAGGTAAGAATCAATACTTTTTACTCTGTGTGCGATTGTGATTGTTTCTTGTATCCAGAAGTAAAGAGTTGCGATCCACTGATGCATCAGTGTATCGTCCCACTACTAGTTATATCGAACTCAAAGGGATCACTAATTTTAGTTTGTTATACATGTTATAACTGTAGTTTGTTATAAGCATATGTACAGCATATGTATAACATGGTATAACAAATGGTCAGGACCAAACAATAGGTTTGTTATACCCGTCAGTTCTTTTTGCATGTTCGTTATAAACATAGTTTACTGTAGTTTCGGAAGTATTGAATATTGTGTATCTAGGTTAACAATCAAGGAAAGGTGATTGTTTGAGCAGCAGTTTTATACAGCTAATCCTTGTCTAAAATGTTCTGAAAGTCATTCAACATTTCTCAAGGCTCCTAGTAAATGTATGTTTCCAAAAATGTCTGCATAAGTGCCTTAGCCATCAGTAGCTAACATGAAGTACTCAATGGTAACCTTAAACCTCCAGTTGTTCCGTGTCTCCACATCCTTAATTACATGTATCTCCACATTACTCAACATTGTCCTGCACCATGACTGTGGAATTTATAAATTTTAGGTATTTTTTTTACTAAAAGCCTAGGCAAGTCTAGATTAAACTAACCAAGTCTAGTTTGCTTGATATGGAAACAGCAGAAGAGGAAAGGTGCTTTTGAAGAATTTACAAAAGATTATTTTAAAGACATGTTTTCATTGATTAAGTGTTAGTCTATCGTCAACACTGGTGAAGATGTTTTCCTGAGTACACAGACTTGAGGAAAGTTTCCTGTACAAGATGTTTAGTTGTGTACTCGTTATATCGCACTGGTTCCCATGATAAACGAACAGTGTAATTTGATGAGATGTCTGTTTTGTCATCATGTCTTGATCTGGAATCAATGTGAAACTATGTCAGTGAATAGGTCAGTATTAAAATGAATTTAATTTTAATCAAGATAATTAAACATTTTACAACTGTCAAAAACTTCAAAATCAGTGCTATTTGCTGTGTGAAGCAGGTTCCCTGAAACACATCTGTTTTAAATGTCCTCCTAAATCATGTGAATTAGCACTGGCAACAATGGTATTCCTAATCGTTCCCTTGAATCAACCCATCCCAGTCTCTCTCATGACCCAGCACTGGACATTGGCTATTGTCCCACTACAAAGTATGCCCAGAGGAAATATGTCAACATGGTCAAAGTGCTGTTGACCATGTAATTGACCACATTATACGCCCAAATCAAGGTCATGATAAATGGTCTGGTGGTTGTCCAGCCTTGATAACAAGGACATGTAGTTGTTGATCTGGGAACTGTGGTCCATGTGATGTCAAGAAGGAATTTGTCTCCTTCTGGGCCCTGTTCCACAAAGATGATCGTAAACCCAAACTTTAACTTTGCTACGATAGCTTGTACACTTGTTCATGGCTGATCCTTGGTGCTTGTGTTAAACTGTTGTCTGACTATTCATGGCTGACCCATGGTGCCTGTGTTAAACTGTTGTCTGACTATTCACGAAGATGATCGTAAACCCAAACTTTAACTTTGCTACGATAGCTTGGTGGAACGGGGCCTTGGAAAACTTCTCTGTGGGTTACCATGGTAACTGTTAGTGTTCAGTGTGTGAAAAATTTATTTGAATACCGGTATCAATAATTTATTTGTGAAATTGACATTTTCACCTTAGATCATGTAGTAAGGTCATGGTTTGATTTTGTTAGCATGACTCAAACTACAGGAAGTTATATGTTTGAAATTATGATTGGTTGGGCTTGAGGCTAATTTTTGTTGTTGTGTTGTTTAATGCAGCACTTAGACTGCAGTATTCCAGCTTTGTGATGGTGGCCAGTGAATTATCAAGTCTGGACCAGACAGTTTAACACCAGACCCGTGTTGAGCTGTTGTCCAACTATTTATGACTGATCCTTGGTGCTTGTGTGAAACTGTTGTCCAACTCTTCGTGGTTGACCAATGGTGCCGAACCTGTGTTAAACTTTTGTGTGACTACTCAAGGTTGACTATTCATGGCTGACCCATGGTGCCTGTGTTACTGTTGTCTGACTATTCATGGCTGACTGTTGGTGCCTGTGTTAAACTGTTGTCTGACTATTCATGGCTGACCCATGGTGCCTGTGTTAAACTGTTTTCTGACTCTTCATGGCTGACCCATGGTGCCTGTGTTAAACTGTTTTCTGACTCTTCATGGCTGGCCCATGGTGCCTGTGTTAAACTGTAGTCTGACTATTCATGGCTGGCCCATGGTGCCTGTGTTAAACTGTTGTCTGTCTATTCACGGCTGACCTACATGCCTGTGTTAGATTGTTGTCTGTCTATTCACGGCTGTCACCCATAGTGCCTGTTTAGCTGTTGTCTAACTATTCATGGCTGACACTGCTGATATGTGATAGCACCATAAGTCTGTGACAACATGTTTTATGTATCTAACATCTGTAGCCAAGCTGACTATTCAGGTGGTTATTGTGTCAGCCTCTGTCAACATGGTTTCTCACAGAGTCTGTATGCATGGGATGACAAGCATGTGACATATTGATGATCTGTGAGTCTACTACAGATGTAAAATGAAACTTAAGTGTTCAGATGCCATGTCTATGTAAAGCAGTAATGGTATCTCACTCTCAGTTCTATAACCATGCTAACAGTACTGCTCCAATATGCCCCAATGACCAATCTCTTAGTAATCTTTATGAACGCTGACAGGATTTGCATGATGCAGAAATGTGCGTCAAATACGCACAAATGTATGGTATGACGCAGAAAAAAATATATTGCATCCTGAGCGACAAACTGTAATTTTATTGTACCCAATTCTTGCCAAGAAACATTAGGGCCCTGTAATTAAACTTAAAGTAATTATCAAATCTTACACTAATACAGTACAGTACACTACACTGATGCATCGGTGGATCGCGATTCTTTACTTCTCGATACAAGTATCGATCACAATCGCACAATCGAAAGTAAAAATTATTCATTTACCTTAAATGTATTCTTTAATATATGTTACACCAAACACTTAGATAACTAGTGAAAACGAGCAGTGAAAATGTAAGTATTTTCGCCCATTGTGCCATACTAACTCTGCCAACTGTAAATCGTTAGTGTATTGTGATATGTATGGGATCGCATTGTTAGTGTATCGGTCCCGGCCCTAGCTGCAACATTTTATTACTGATCCTCTGGGCCCCTAGTTTTGTAGGTCATGGTAAAACCCTGTTACAAAAATCAACAAAGTCCTAGCCACATACCAAGGAAATTTTACATGGC